TGCGTCTCGCCTGCACTGGCAGGCCATCGACTACCCCCGCAACCAGCCTATGCCCACAGCCCGTTGTGTGGTAAGCAGGAGAGCTGGACTCTGAGCCCTCAATTGCCTAGAGAGAGGGTAGAGCTGGCCTTTAAGATGGTTTTGCTTATTAGAGAGAGCGGAAGGGGAAGCATCACACAGCAATAGGGCCACTTCCCTGCCAGAGGGGGTGGATGCCAAAGGTGCTGGATCCTTAGCTCACTGGTTTACCCTCAACATACCAGGAAAAATAGTCATCCCGATTCACTGGTCCAGGTTTTTATCACACAGTATTGTGTGATGAAATTCTTCCTGTAGAATGACTTAACTGGATGAAAATATCATGTTTCTTTTTTGTCTTTAGAAACGTGTTGCTCTGGCCAGGCACAGTGGCTCATGTCTGGTATCCCAGCATTTTGGGAGGCCGAGGTGGGTAGATCACCCGAGGTCAGGAGTTTGAGATCAGCCTGGCCAACATGGTAAAACACCGTCTCTACTGAAAATATAAAAATTAGCCAGGTGTTGTGGCATGCACCTGTAGTCCCAGCTACTAGGGAGGCCGAGACAGGAGAATCGCTTGAGCCCAGGAGGCAGAGGTTTCAGTGAGCCGAGATTGTGCCACTGCACTCTATCTTGGGCAACAGAGTGAGACTCCATCTCAAACAGTAGTAATAAAAAGAAATATGTTGCTCGTTCACCAATTCTTGAGTTTGAGGAAATTGATTAGGAAAGATGTTTCTATGACTAATTTCACAACCATCCTTAGAGACTGGAGTGCTGTGCTGCTATGTGTCTGCATTTATTGTCTGATTTGTCCAAGTGAAATGTCCTCAACTGTCATTATTCTTTTTTTGTCATTATGAGTGGAAATTGAAAAGTCCTGAATTCTCCAACCTTCTGAAAGATTATATAATTCTTTGGGCAATGCAATAAAGAAACCAAAGGACGATGCAATAGTGATGGTTTATTTCACTACCGCATCTTCTTTCTGGCAGTACTATCTTTCTTCCATTTTCTTATTAGTCGTGTGTACCATGGTTAGATATAATTAATGAGTAATATGAAATAATTTTTAGGAGGAAATAGCAAATTGTTGCAAGATATAGGAAAATAAGCTCATCAAGAGCTCAAATGCATTTTAGATTTATAAAAGAATCGGGCTGGGCACGGTGGCTCACGCCTGTAATCCCAGCACTTTGGGAGGCTGAGGCTGGCAGATCATCTGAGGTCAGGAGTTCGAGACCAGCTCAACCAAAATGGAGAAACCACATCTCTACTAACAATACAAAATTAGCCGTGCATGGTGGTGCATGCCTTGTAATCCCAGCTACTCAGGAGGCTGAGGCAGGAGAATGACTTGAACTCGGGAGGCGGAGGTTTTGGTGAGCCGAGATCACACCATTGCACTCCAGCCTGGGCAACAAGAATGAAACTCTGTCTCAAAACAAACAAACAAAACAAACCAGGCTGGGCGCAGTTGCTCATGCCTATAATCCTAGTACTTTGGGAGGCCGAGGAGGTCAGGAGTTCCAAACCAGCCTGGCCAACATGGTGAAACCCCATCTCTTCTAAAAATACAGTAACAACAAAAAAAAATTAGTGGGTGTGGTGGTTCATGCCTATAATCCCACCTACTGGGGAAGCTGAGGCAGGAGAATCACTTGAACCAGGGAGGCAGAGGTTGCAGTGAGCCGAAATTTTGCCATTGCACTACAGCCTAGGCAACCAAGTGAGACTCTGTATCAAAAAAAAAAAAAAAAAAAATCCAATATATTCATATGGTAATGAATGTTTCATTTTGTTTTATTTTAAATTTTTGAGACAGAGTCTCCCTGTTGCCCAGGCTGGAGTACAGTGGCACAACTTAGGCTCACGGCAACCGCCACCTCCCAGGTTCAAGTGATTCTGCCTCAGCCTCCTCAGTAGCTGGGACTCCAGGCATGTACCACCACACCTGGCTAATTTTGGCATTTTTAGTAGAGATGAGGTCTCGCCTTGTTAGCCAGGCTGGTCGTGAACTCGGTCTTAAACTCCTAACCTCAGGTGATCCACCCACTTCGGCCTCCCAAAGTGCTGGAATTACAGTTTTGTTTTTTTTTTTTTAATAAATCTTGTTCTTTGGAAGACCACTAAGAATAGCCATAAAATATCAATTCTTACAAATAGAACCGCTCAAAAAAGAAACTCAAAAACTAAATTTGGGTTCAGTGGCTTCTGAGGGTATACCACCAGTGAAGTAAGTCTCTGTCCTCAACAAGGGAGCGAACGGCAGACCCACACACCTGAGGGCTCTGCTCTCGGAACTCCTGGCCTGGCTTTCTGCTGAGTGGCAGCAGTCCCTCTCCCTCATTTGGAGACAAGAACCATGTCTCCATCTAGCTGCAGGCCTCTAGGGCGGGGACAGTATCCCATCGCACTGGGATTCCCCATGGTGGCAATGCCGGTCTCTCCTTCCACACAACTGTGCTGCACTCAGGCTGTTTGTCAGGTTAGCAGAGCCTGGGGGAGACAGCTGGGCCCTGGTCTGAATCCAGTGCTAAGTCTCTGTCTCCTCATTTGTGAGGGCGCAGGCGGGCAGCAGTAGTGCCTGCCTTACAGCTGTTACAAGATGTAGTATAGTCAATGGGAAGCCTTGTTCCAGGCATTGGAGGACACAGGTGAAGCTGACACCTTTTCTGCCTCAAGGGGCATCCTATGGGTGTGTCAGGAGAGACTACAGAGGTCACATAAAAAGAAAGGCCTGGCTATGTGTCCGGTGATAGAGAGGGCAGCAGATAAGGAAGGGGCACAAGGAGAAGAGGCAACTCTGGGGTTGAGGTTATGAAGTGGGCCTGGGTGGACAAAGAGGAGACGGCGTCGGCACTTGCATGAAAGCGAACTGGAGGCACAAACAGTCAGTTCAGGGGAAATGGGGCGCTCTGCCTGGCATGCCGGAAGGCTCCAGCCAGCTGAGGTGCCCGCGTCTTTGGTAAGAACATGCCCTGGCTCTGCCCCTACCTTTTTCCTGAGTAGTCCAGTGATATGGTGCCTTCTTTGCTTTGTCCTGAGCACTCCCCACAGGGTGGGAGTAGGCAGGCTCCGTGTCCCCACTCCCCTCCCCCTGCTGCCATTATCAGCTGTGTCCAGATGGTCACAGGCTCCCTAATCTAGGATAATCGGCAGGTCGGAGCTCAGCTGGGACCCGGGCCTTTATGCCTGCCATGATGGGCCAGCCCCAGCTGGAGAGACCCTGTAGACAGGGCCCTGGGGCTTTGGAAGAGGGGGTGGGATGTGGGGCTGGCCTTGTGCTGGAGGGAGACGCAAGTAGCAGATGATGATTCCTCTTCCAAAGGCAATCTGAGTACAAATGAGGGGGAGCCTGCAGCTGGGGCCTGGCCAGCTTCTCCAGGCCTCACAGCCACAGGCACAGAACCTCGCGGAATCTGTCTGTGGCATCTTTTGTTCCCTTTCTCTCCCTCTCTGAGCTCACCCCTCCCTACCCAGCAGTTGGTTGTTGCCCCTAGAGCCCCAGACTTTTTGTTTTGTTTTGTTTTTGAGATGGAGTCTCACACTGTTGCCTGGGCTGGAGTACAGTGATTCGATGTAGGCTCACTGCAACCTTTGCCTCCCAGGTTTAAGCGATTCTTCTGCCTCAGCCTCCCAAGGAGCTGGGATTACAAGTACCCGCCACCATGCCCAGCTAAATTTTTGTATTTTCAGTAGAGATGGGGTTTCACTATGTTGGCCAAGCTGGTCTCGAATGCTTGACCTCATGATCCACCAACCTTGACCTCCCAAAATGTTGGGATTATAGGTGTGAGCCACTGTGCCCAGTGCCCCAGGCGTACAGTGCCATCAGGAACTTGTGCCCCCATTGACATTGGGCACCTCACAGGATCTGGTGCAGAGCAGGGTGGCTGCATTCTCAGAGGCCTGTGGCTGTGGTGCCCACACCCTGAGCCTGCAGTTTGCTGTGAGCCTCCACTCCGTGGTTGTTCAGGGATTCATTACTTTTTGGTTTTGCCTCTTCCATGAGTAGGGGAGCCCCGACACCCCCCTTGTATCTGGCTCCTAGCAGTGAGTACTGATCATCTCAAATTTAAGGACGGTAACTTCATCTGGGAGGAGTGTGGGAAGCGATGTGTTTGGGAATGGACACAGGCCTACAGAGGTGTTTGTAACCATGTCTTTCTAAGTGGTGGGAAACAGACATTTTATTATTCTTTAACTGTTTATATATATAACAGGTTCTTTTTATGCATGAAATATTTTATAGTTTTTTAAAAATGCCCACATTACTCTTTTGAAAGTAAATGAGATAATGTATGTCAGAACCTAATACCGAAAGCTATAGTAGTAAGAGGTAGGGCCTTTGGGAAGAGATTAAATTGTTCGCGAATGGGGGTAGGGCCTTCCTGAGTTGGATGAGAGCCCTCATAGAAGAGGTCGGAGGGAGCTGCCTGGCCTCCCTCTACCATGAGAAGACTCAGCAAGAGAACACCATTTATGAAGCAGAGCACCCTCACCAAACACCAGATCTGCTGGCCACCTGATCTTGCACTTCCCAGCCTTGAGAACTGTGAGAAATAAGTTTCTGTTGTCTATAAATCACCCAGTCTAAGGTGTTTTGTGATAGTTTTCATACCATTGCAGTCTGTGACAGCTCAAACAGACTGCAATGGTATGAAAGTGCCTCATAAAGAGTACACACAGGGAGCAGATATTGGACATTCCATCTCCAGGAGGGCAGACTGCAGCTGGAACACAGATCCAACAAAGTTTTTGGTTTTTTTGTTTGTTTGTTTGTCTTTGAGATGGATTCTTCCTCTGTCGCCCAGGCTGGAGTGCGGTGGCGCCATCTCGGCTCACTGCAACCTCCACCTCTGGGTTCAAGCAATTCTCTGCCTCAGCCTCCTGAGTAGCTGGGATTATAGGTGCCCCCCACCACGCCTGGCTAATTTTTATTTTTTTATTTTTAGTAGAGACAGGGTTTCACCATCTTGGACAGGCTGGACAAGGTTTTATTTCTGCAAGAAAAGGGACCATTAAGGGCTGTTTGCGTGGAGGTGCCATGAGAGAGAGGAGTGTACGCCTGAGCTCTGCTTGCCTTTCTGCCTCCTGGCTCAGGCTGTCCAATCTGAGTCACCTGCCCAGGTTCTGGACAATGGTGACACAGCCATGGGAGCTGGTGCAGCGCTGCAGGGATGGCTGGGCCTCCACCTGCCCACTGCTGGGGTCAAAGGTGAAGACCTTATCGGTGCTTTCTCCGCGATCATCCCGCCCACCAAGGATGTGGACCTTCCCATCACACACAGTGACTCCACAGCTCTCCTGGGTGGACAAACAGAAACACAATTAACTATCAGGTCCAGCCTGTGCTCCTTCTGTCCTTACCTGGCCAGGCCAGATAATAGAACCTTGACCCACAGACTGTGAGCAGGCAATCTGGCCTGCAGAGAGGAAGGAAACCGGATGGACCAGAGTTCAAGCTCTGGCTTGACCCTTACTCAGTGAATGGCCTTAGGCAAGTCACTTAACCTCTCTGGACCGGAGTTTCCTCATCTGCAAAGGGAGAAGAACAAGAGTGCCTTCTTCACAGGGTTCCCTTAACAGTTAATGGGAGTTAAGCATATAAAGCATTTTACATAAAGCCTGGAATATGGTAAGCACACCAGTAACAATAATCTCCACTGCCACCATCTTAGAGTCTTAGACTCAGAGAAGCCAGAAATCTCACCCTCTTAAGGTCACCAAAGGTCAGAACTGGCAGAGACCACCAGTCTGGCCATACCTGTATAGTCTCTGGAATTTCGGGGGATGGAGATGAAGGTAGGGGAGGCAAGGAACTGCAGGGGCCAGAGCTTCCAGGACTTGGGCCTCATATCACTAGAGAGCAGAACTTAGCAAGTCCCTTTCCTACCCCTTTCCCCATGATTGGTTACCAGCAGTGGCCTTAGGGCAGGAGAAACCGCAGGGTCATTTAGACCAAACTCCCACCCAAAGCCACAGCACTTGGAACTGCAGAGTTCTAGGCTCTGCCTTAACAGGGCCTAGGTGCTGAAGCTCTCTAAGGCCAATCTCCTCATCTGTGAAATGCATGGTTCACTATCACTGAGGACAAAGCTAGAGAACTATGTATAATAAAACCACCAAGCATGGAGTCACACCAGATTCACAAGCTCCAGGAAATAGAGCCTTAGAAATGGCTTCTGCTCTCCTGCCTTGAAGCTTCCACTTACCACAGGGCTGGGGAGGACAGCTGCCTCCCCCCACACATCTGTGCCTGGATGATAGGTAAAGATTTTGCTCATGAGACCCCCCAGGACATAGATGGTGTCATCCAGGGAGACAGCCTCGAGACACCGCTGTGAGAAGGGTGCTGGTGACCGCAGGCTCCACTGGTCTTCCTTGGGGTCAAAGCACTGTACCTGAGGGGCAAGAGGGGCAGTGGTGATGAAGCCTCACTGCCCTCCCGACGCTGCAACTGCCCCACTGCCCACACGCTGCCACCTCTCTCCCCTAGGGGCACTCATTCAAAACAACATCTGCCAAATGTCCACCAGGCCCGAGCCAGCATCTGGGAGGGAAGGGGAGATCCACAGTTCCTGCCCTCAAGAGCTCTCCATCTAGTTCTATGTTCTATCCTCTGCCTCTGGACTCCCTTTGTCCAAAGCCTCCTCATCTTTCAAGGTCCTGCTCAAATGCCACCCCATCCTTCCAGGCTTCCCTGGTATTTCCACTCCTCCTCCCCTCGCTGGAACAGCCTCTCCTCTGATGGAGAACACAGGCGCCTCATGTGAGATGAATCACAGGAGCACATCATACAGAGCTGGGAGAGGTACTGTCTGCTTTAGGGTTATAAAGGGTTATAGAGCAGACCCCCCACAGGGATGTGTTCCTGGCTGCATACACTGTCAACTCTCTTTTCCTGGTGCTCTCAGGTCATAAGATTCCAACTGAGGTGTCTTGCAGTCCTATTCCTACAGCTGTCCACATGCCCATGGGTGTTTCTGATGCCCTTAACAGTTTTTATACAGTTGCCTGCTCACCTCACTCTGTTTCCTCAACTGTTTCCTTGGGGAACCCCCACAGCAGCATATAATAAATCAGTGCCACACGGGATGGTGTTAAATGGGGCCTCCCACCATGAGTGCCCATCACTTGGCTCCAGGAGGGTTTGCTGGAAGAATGTGGTCAGGGAATAAAGAAGGCTGAGCACAAATTTCCTAATTTGGGAAATAGGTCTCAGGACCACAGGCCTATGAGCCATCAGGGGAGGGAAGGAACTGCTATAATAAAGATTTTTATTTGCAAAAAGCCTAAATATCCAACAATAAAAGATGAGTAGACTCTAGTTCATCCACCAAGTGGAATAGTACAGACATTGAAATAACAGCTGTAAAGTTGCTAAGCACGTGGAAAGTGCTCATACTTAAATTAGAATAAAAAGCAGGATGCAAAATTCTACTAACAGAACACAAAATTGTAAGAAAAACAAAATTCAGTGGAAGCCTGGAAGGCAATGTACCAAAATATTAATAGCAGCTCTGCCTAAACAGTGGGATTATGGGTGATTTTTTTTTCTATTTTGTGTTTTCTAAGTTTTCAGTAATGAGTGTATTATTTTTGGAATGGAACAAAAGCATTTTAACTATCTTGCCCTTAATTTTTAAAATCTATGAAACTTACATGACACCAGCCCAAACATTTGAGTCTTGGTATGCTGCTGACCCACTGTGTGACCTTGGGGTCATTTTTTCTGCTCATTTCCTTGCCTGAAACATGGAGGTGATTTGTCTGGGCTGTTGATGGGATTAAGTAAAGAAATGGACAAGGGCATGGAAATGCCCAGCTCTGCGCCTGGCACACATTGGGCGCTGCAGCCTCCCGACGCCCGCGCCCACCTTGTCCGTGTTGACGCTGTCCTGCCCGGCACCCCCGATCACGAAGAGCTGACCCGCGCAGGACGCCACCGCTGCCGAGCTCACGGCCTCCGGGAGGGGTGCGGCGGCCGCCCAGGTGTTGGAGAAGGGGTCGTAGCGCTCCACGCTGCGCAGGCGCCTCAGGCCGTCGAAGCCACCCACCGCGAACAGCTGCAAGTGAGGACATGGGCCAGGGCGCCAGGAGTCAGGGCCTTAGGCCCCTCGGCCTCGCTGCTTCAGTCTTAACAGTCTTTGAGCTGGAAACTAACCTGTCCCCAACCCAGCTTCAGTACCAAACCAACCCGGAAGCCCAGCGCTGCCACCACCTGGGCGTCCTCCACTCAGTTGCTGTACATCCCTGAGCCGGTTTCCTCTCATTTACCGGGGATAATAAGACCTGCCTCTCTCTAGGATGGGTACTGAATGCGGGTTAGAGCTGTAGAATACCTGACACCAAGCTGATGCTTAATAATAATAGCTAGTATTAAGACTTTACCACCCCACTTAATTGATTCTAAGAAGCATTTTTATTTGTGTTTCTGGATTCGGGATGTAGCTTACAAAGATAATTGACAGATTCTTTTTGTCTTGAGTAGCAGAGTCAACCTTCGAACCTAGACTGTATGGCCCCAGAGCCTACACCCTTGACCATCAGGCTGTTACTGTTACAGTAATTGCTATTATTATTAGCATCAGTATTATTATGTGACCTTGGACAAGTCTCTTTCTTTTTCGGGGAGCCTCAGACCCTTCTTACAAAAAGAGGGTTTTAGAGAACCTCCCTCCAGGACATCCACAGATCTGTACCTTGGGTCCCAGGGCAGCAGCTGCAGCTCATGCCTACCTGCCCCTGCACAACTGCCATCTTGTGCCGCCACCTGCCCTTGTGCAGAGAGGCTACCTTGATCCAGGTGTGCAGATGGGACCTAAACATCCACACATCGTGACTGTTGATGTGGCCTCCTAGGGAGAGAGAAGCACCTGTTGCCCACAGCTGTCTTGCTATCCCCAGCACCCCCAAAGGGCTAGAAACTAGGGCCCCCAGATCCAAAAGAAGGGTTAAGGGAAGGCAGCAGGAGGAGTTCCCCTTGAGCTGGTGTAAGACTCTGGGCCTGTGACCCAGACAGTGTGCTCTGAGTAAGTGGTGAGAAGGTCTGAGTTAGGAGTCTTGAAGGGAGAAGCCTGAAAGATTCAGGAAGAAGGGGCTGGTTTTCATTGGGCAGTGGTGGTGGTGTGTCAGGCTCTGTGCTCAGTGGAGCAAAGAAGGGACTGCTGTACTAAAGGTAAGAGTACAAAGGGTACCCAAGGCAAACATCTGGAATGTGCTGGGGACCCAGGAAAAGCAGAGCAACCTGCATTGGGAGCCAGGAGGGGTAGAGGGTGGCCCAGTAACCCTCCCTTCCTTCTGCCTTCACCTGCACAATTTCATTTCTGATCTCATCCCTCCATGAGGTATTGGGAATACTACACCAAATTTACATCCAAGAAACTCAGATGAGGCTTAGAGACCAGCAACGACCTGAAGACTACATGGCCTTTTGTCAGAGCAATGGGCAGAACCAGAGCTCCTGGCTCCAGGCCCAGCATTGGTGCCGCTGGAGGACATGGCATGCCCTATAGGACCAGACACTGGGGATGCAGGCTGTGGACTTTTTCTTCCCATGCCTAGCCACCCTGGGGATCTTGGTCAGGGTTTCACCTCTGAATGGGAGCCTCCCTGCGGACAACCCTAACTGTATCCCTAAGCCTGAGCCTGTGACCAGAGCCACATCTGTTTGGTAGCCCCATCTTTGTTTATTTCTAGTGGCACCCAACAGAGGCCCCACATGTTGCTCAGAGCCATTAACGACCTTGAATAAATTGTCCAGTGGTAATGTGTGGTCTCTGAGGCCTCCACGGCTTATTTTCCTGCTCCTTATCCTTTGCAGGCACCCATAACTCACTACAACATCAAGTTCAATCTACTTAGCCCCAGACTCAAAGCCTCCCTGATCTGACTCCTGCCTCACCTATGATACTTAACCTGTGCTTCAGAGCCCCAAGTGCCCAGGGTTCCTTTCTGCATGTCTTTGCCCTTGTGCCTCTGCCTATACTGTTCCCTCCAACTCTCAAGGTCCAGCTGTAAAGTCATCCCTTCCATGAAGCTGGGACAGATTCCCTGAGTGGCATTCCAGATCATCTGGGGACTCTGAGAGTTCTGATCACATTCTGCCTGGTGGTAAAGTGAAGTCTGTCTCTCCTCTGCAGGACACCAGGGGAGCAAGGGCTGTGTTTTATGCTTCTCTGAGACTTTAGGGATTGAGCCTCAGGGAGGACACAGTTTGTTGGTATCAAACAGCTTTGTGTTCCTCCTAGCTTTGCCATTTTTGAGACAACTGGGGAAATTCTGAGGCTCTTTGAGCCTTCCTCATCTGTAAACAGCATTGTATGGGGATTAAATGATAACCAATGTAAGCTGCTTAGCATAATGTCTGGCACACAGTAGGCTAGATGAAGTGATTATTAATACTAACACGAACTGAATTCCCTAGGAAGACGGCTCAGAACAAAAAGTAATCATAGGAATTGAAATTGACATTGCTGAATAAAGGGCGGGTCACCCCCGTATTTTCTGCTCACTTCAGCCAATAACTGTAGGCTATCAGAAAACATCCCCCCTTCCTCTCCCGATTGGAGGGAAAAGCAAAGGGGGAGGATTGCGAGAGGCGACTAGCCAATCCCGTATGAGCTCCCTTTGCGGCCCCACCCTCACCAGAGACGTAGACGTCATTGCGGAGAGCACAGGCGGCGAATTCTGAGCGAGTGTAGCCGGGCAGGCTGGGCAGTGGGGTCCACCGCTGGCTCTCTGGGTGGTAGGCATCGGCGAAGGGCAGCTTCAGGAGACCTTTGCGGTCGCAACCGCCGATGACCACGATCACTTCAGCTAGGTCCATGAATCTGGCGTGCGGATAAGCCCAGTGCCTGTTGGGCCGCACCCAAGTTCGGCCCTCTGTCACCCTCTCGACCACAATGCACTGTCCCACTTCCTTTCATGCGCTTCTGCCATCACCCCACCCATCAACCCTCAGGTCCCACTCCCGCTGGACTCTGCCACTTCCAACTTTCCCTGCGGGTATTAATGGGAAGAGAATCGCTAATTCTTACTGCATTCTGCTGACCTCTAAACTACAGAAAAAACAATCCTTACAGATCCCTTGCCCTCACCTAGAAAAATCACCTTGTTTAATCCGTATGACAGTTCTATTAGTAGGGATTATTACCCCTTTCACAGAGGAGGAAACTGAGGCTCACATACCATGGCGTGCCCAGTCATGCAGCCATTAAGCGACAGAGCTGTAATTCAAGCCCAGATTTGTTTGTGGGCTAACTCATCTTCAGCACCCTTTTCTCACCTCCAACCTCTGATTCTGCTGCCTTCCTCCTATGACATCCCCTCATCCCTAACTCACCCTTTCAGCAAACCATGCTTCCCTCTCACTGACCCCTCAGGCATCTGACCCCACCAGAATTTCCATACCCTTTAGCCACTGGTTTTCTAATTCCTTTGGCACATACTAAGCATCTGTGTCCCAGGCCCTGAGCTTACCGTTAGAGATAGTGTCGTTCCTGGGGGCGTGACTGAGGACTACTCTACCCAGTCTCCCAGTCCAGCTTTCCATGGGTGAGGCAGGCCGCTTTCACTCTTTCCCCACGCCCCTGCCTATTTCCATCCCTCATTAGTCTGCGAGCTCCCAGAAGGCAAAGAGTGTTTCCAAATCACTTCCACGTCCCTGTACCCTGCACAGAACTTTCGTAGAGTAATAAGTACTCTCACGGTTGCAAGGAGGAAAGTGTGCCCCAGGTGTGGGATCTCTGCATCTCCCTGACTGGCCTGTTAACTCTTCAAGGGCAGAATTCTGAGCAAAGAGACTCTAAAATGTTCAACGAATGACTGAATATAATCAAGAGGCAGTACTAAAGGATGGTGAAGGAATGAATGAACGGTGGAAGAAGGTGGGAAGAACGGAGGGCGGGAGGCTAGGAAACGACGGCCGTACCTCCGCGGCCGGGCCCGCAGCGCGCCGGCCTCGCGGCCCAGGATGAAGCAGGTGCGGGCCTCGAGCAGCAGCGGGCGGCACTCGCCGCAGGCCTGCAACAGCTCGTCAGCCTCCACCTTCTCCAGGAAGTAGGCGGGCGCCAGCAGGGGCAGGCGCACGTGCTCCAGCAGGCGTCGCAGCTGCCCGCGGCGGGCAGGCGCGTCGTGGCGCACCCAGCGCATGGCCGCCTCGAACACGGCCTCCTCGCGCGCCACGCCCAGCGCGGGGTCCGCCAGCAGCGCCGCCACCTCGTCGGGCGCCAGCTCCAGGAAGTCGGCGTGGCGCGCCACCTCGGCGAAGGCCTGGCGCAGGACCCGGCCGCAGCGCTCGGCCAGCGGGGCCAGCGAGAAGGCGGCGGCCACGCGGCGCAGCGCCAGACTGTTGGCGGCGCGCAGGCGGCCCTCGAGAAATCGCACGCAGGCCTCGCGCAGGCCCGCCACGCCCAGCCGCTCCGCCAGCGCCAGCACGGCCGCCGCCTCGTCCTCCGCGCGCAGCCGCGCGCCCGCGCCATACACGTAATCGAGCACCACGGCCAGTGCCGCCGCCGTCCCGGCCGGGCCGGAGCCCGGCGCGTCGGCCACCAAGGGCACCACGGCCAGGACGCGCTCGGGTCGCCCGGCCGCGAACAAGCTGCGGAAGTAGGCGCTGCCCGCGCTGAGCGCCGCGCGATGGCAAGGGAAGTCGCGGCCGCCGGCTCGCAGCACAACGTCGGTGAGGGTGCCGCTCCGCCGGTACGCGTTGAGGGTCTGCAGCACGCGCTGCGCGTGGCACTGGCCCGCACACGGCGGCTCGCAGCCCGGCTCCGACTCCTCCGGCCCAGGGGCTTCCCGCATCCTGCCGGGGAGAGAACACAAACAACGTCGGGGAAGCCACCTGGCTGCGCGGGGGAGAGGGAACCGTCCTCATCCGTTTATTCCCTCCCTTGACCATTCCATCAGCGACTCCCCCCTCCGTCTACCGTCCAGGTTCCTTATGGCGACAGTGACCCAGTCCTGCCTCACCAGCACGACATTCTGCCCTGCGTACCCACTCAGACACAGTGCCCTTTTCGGTTCTTCAGACTTGCTAAGCGTTTTCCTATCGATATCTGCAGGAGACAGATGGCGCGCTCTCAAATAGGGTAATCGGAGGAGGGTCTAATAAAGGAACGATTTCCAACAGCGGAGGCGGCGTTAGGGACTCCAGCAGGGGTAGGGCGGTGCGGCAGGCTACTAACAGCAGGGCGCCTTGGCCGCCCGGGGTCTGAATCGGTAGGGCAGGGAGGTTACTGGAACCTGGAAATATATCTGTGTAAGGAAGATCCCGTGATGAGCTGAAGCCCTGGGTGGAGGGACTCAGGCTGCCCCACAGAGACCCAGTGTGTGCGTGTGCAGGGGAGAGAGGGTACAGTAACTCCACAGTCCTCTGCTCAGTCCAGCCTGTCTCCTGCGGATCTCTGGTAGGTGCTTGGCACTGACCACACCCTGAGCACTCCCCCGGCAGACAGAATTCATACACACAGCATTCGCGCAAACGGTTTCAACAAGTATTTATTGGGAGCCTTTTCAGTGCCAGGCAGTGAGAAAGACAACCATAGTTTGGGTGTGCCCGGAGCTCCCAGCCTGGCGGGGTTGCCTCAGGCAGGCACCGAGTGTTAGGGGAGTTCATAAGAAGGGGTGCTGAACCCGGGTGGAAGGGAGTCAGGGAGGGTGTCCCTTCCAGCTGAGGACAATTCTGAAAGGAGGGCAGGTTAGAGCCCAGGCTGAGGGAAGCTGGCCCTGTGTCTAGTGAGTTCTCTTGGTGTTCTCCAGGTAGCAGCGTCAGCAAGTGGAAAGAACTCTAGGGACAAATGGGGATTCTAACCCTGTCCCTGCCACTGGCTCACGGTGTGTCGCCAAGGCAAGTCACTCCTCTCACCTGCCCGCCCTGGCCTCAGTTATCTCATCTGAATGGGATCATAATGCCTACCTCCCAGGGCTGTGGCTTCATGACTGTTACATGGGCTGTATGAAAAGTGCTAGCACATAGTATGAGCTACATGAGTGTTTCCCTACATTGTTTTTACTCAAGAGGAATCGAGGACACTGTGTGTGCCAGTTGCTTTTATAGACATGATTTAATTTCATCCTCACAACCCTGAGAAGTTTCTTTAGCCCACCCCTGCCCCTTTAGTTTTGACATAAGGGAAACAAGCACACACAGGACACCTGCCCTTCAGAGGTTTGCAGCCAGGCTCAGCGGAGGGTGTTGTGAGCCCCTCAGGCTCTGCAGACTGAGGGGCTGGGCCGTGCTGGTTATGATTTGGCCATTATGGACACGCACCTCTGCTTGCACACCTCCAGGGACAGGGAGCTCCCTCCTATCCGTCTGCTTACTCTAGAAGGCTCAGGTCCACCCTCTGCTCCCTGCCTCTCCTTCCATCCTTCAGCTCCCAGCTGCTCTGCCGCCTCTGGAGGTCACATCCTGCTCAGTGTCAGCCTGGCTTTCATGCCCTGGTCATCCTGGGCAGTGGATCCCCTGCCCAGCATCATGAGAAATGAGCTCCCTGGTGTGCAAGAAAGTTAACCACTTTTTTTTTTTTTAAAGATGGGGTTTCACCATGATGGCCAGGCTGGTCTTGAACTCCTGACCTCAGGTGATCCACCCACCTCGGCCTCCCAAAGTGCTAGGATTACAGGCGTGAACCACCGCGCCCGGCGAAAGTTAACTACTTCTGCCCAAGTGGAGAGGCTGGATCCTGAATGCACCTGGCTCCAGGGTTTGCATGCCACACTTGCCAGGATGGGGTATGTCCCAAGGAGCAGCCAGGACTGATCATGCTGCAAACAGTCTGTCCTCCACTGGCCCAGAAAGCAACTACGCTCTGAGTAGTCCTCTCATCAAGAGGACAGGTCTCATCAGCATAAGGATGGACTTCTTCCAGAGGTGTCCCACAGCACAAGCAGTTCCCTGGGGAGGGAGAGTCCCCTCCTAGAAGTGTGTCAGTATTTTTTCATTTTACTTTCTATTGCACTGGGCACTCTGGACACACAGGGTCATCAGATCCAGCATTCACTCTGGGGATCCCCAGTCTGGGGGCTGAAGGACACCCAGTTGGAACACGGAAGGTAAAAATTCCCAGGTAGAGCTCAATGGGTATCCTCCCTTCTAGGCTGAATCTAGGCACTTCAAGCCAGGGGTCATGATGCAGACTGAAGGGCCCAGGCTGTAGAAGTTAACTCGAACATGCCACTATCACTGTCTTTTTCTCACATCCACATCCAGTCACACAAACCCACACTCGGACTAGCAGACACCCCGCAGCCGGCAGCCCTGCAGCGTAAGCCTTGCCCCTCACACCTGGCGCTTACCTGGCCACGCCCTCTCCCAAGTGCTCCGCAGCTGCTGCTCTCAGGTATCACTCCGGTCTGTGCCTGCTGCCCACACCCCTAGCAGCCCAGGCTCCAGTGTTCCTGCCGCTGTGCCTGACTCCTGCTCGGGCTCAGCTGCGGGAGGACAAAGGGGCTGGACGCCAGGAGGAAGGGGGAGGGAGGGGAAGGGAGAAGCGAGTGGGGAGGGGGATGTTGGGCTTTTGTTCCATTCTTGGACTAGCCCTGGGAGAGAGGCAAAGAAAGGGGCGTAAGAGTGGGATTGACTGTGTGTGCAACTCCAGGATTTGGTGTGCCTGGGTTTGGGGGTGACCTGGTGCTGCCCTTGTTCCTGAATGAGGGTGGGTTTGAAGGTGTATGGTGCTGGAGTAGGGATGTGGGAGGGGTGTCATCATGCAGTTGTGGGCATGGAGGTTCCAGGGTGACTGTGTGTAATTGTGGAAGTGCATGGAATAAAGTGACGGTGTAGCATTGGCAGGGTGTGGACATGTGGCTGTGTGACCACGAAGATGCCAACGTGACTAAGCATGTGTGGGGGCACAGTGGCTCTGAGTCTCACTCCCTTAGCCCAGAGAGAGGTGGGAGCTTACCTCTGCCCCAGGAGGCAGAGCACCTGCCAGGCATTCAGTAGCACAGACAGGAGGGCCAGTCCTCAAGGTTACTGTGGGGGTCCAGTGGAGCTTCCAACATTTGCAGGGGGCTTTTTTCCTTTTTACCTATAAGGTGCCAGAATCTCCTAGACTCAAGAATTCTATTCAGAAGATCCCTGTTTGGAAGAGACATACCACTTGGCTCCCAGGAAGCATGGAGTTAATTTGATGCAGGCTGAGGCTGGGGCTCAGCCTCCCCTTTTTCCCTCAGGACACACCCATGACCAGGACAAAGAGGGGAGTTACAGGCCTGCTGCAACTCCACCGCTGACCCCTGCCCACAGACAGCAGAGGCTGCAAGGGTTGAAAGGAAAGGACACCTGTGGTCCCAGGGCTGGACTTTGGCTTTCAGCCCAGGCGCCCCCCAGTCCTGGGCATGGGCCCTCCTCAGGCAGGTCCAAAGCTCGGAGAAGTCAAAGCCAAATCCCTGCCAGGAAGAGGTCTCCTGAGCTAAGGGCTTGTCCCAGCATTGCCAGGAGGCTCACAATGCCTTTGTGTGGCTGCGAGGGCACCTGCCAGTCCCACTGCCATTGGACCTAGGAGCCCTCCCACTCTGTGTGTCATTCCTAGCTGCTTATGGGAGGCACACACATGCGCTGGGGCAAGAGTCTGAGTGGGATTCTGGCTTGGCCTGTTCTAAGTTGTGTGGCCTTTGGAAGTCACTTTACCTGTCTAAGACTGTCTCCCCATCCACCATGTGAGGATACCGGCTCCCAGCCATGGGCATCGTTTCGGACCCAGGGAAGAGGAGGCACCATCCTGCCACTTTCCCATTCATTCCTGAGAATGGTTCCTCCTCAAATTGTAGGGTCAGAACTGAAACCTAGACCCAGCACGCTTGAACCCCACGCCTGCTGGCAATTCAGAGACAACACACATCAAGATGGCAGCTTTAATCGTATTGGCCGAGGCCCTTGGGTTCCCTCTGTTGTGGGCCTATTTAGCCACACACCCACTCTGACCATGTCCAAAACACTTTTCCCAGGTGGGCCCTGCCCTGTGGCCACTAATGTGGGAACCTGAGGTCACATCAGTCTGTGGACTCCTGGGTTGAGGGACCCTTCGGCCCTGAGGTCTGCTGGACACTTGGGCATGGGATTCAGTAGTCCTGAGCTCTCACTTCTGGCCATCTCCAGCTGCTCCCAGGGGACATGCTCAGGCCTGCTCCTGGGGCAGGGGGCTGGCGGTGGCATGAGGTGGGGAGGAGGACGTGTCTCCACACTGCAGCTGGCTTCCTCCTGGGCCGAACCTCCTTGTGCTTTGAGACTGACAGGAAGAGCAGAGTTGCTTCAGGTAGAGGCCTGGCCCAGGCCCGTGGGGCAGGATAACAATGGAGAACTCAGTGGCCTCATAGCAGACAGGAGGACAGATGGCACAGGTGAGTATCCGCACCCTCCATTGTCACAGGGGGTATGGCATGGCCCATGACCCATCAAAGCTTCAGGTTGGGATACAGGAGAGGGCCTCAGAAGGGGGGGACCAAGCCCTAAGTCCCATACTTCCCAGAAGGAGCCCCAGGCCTGTGGGGGCATCTGAGAGGCTTGAGTCCTGGGCCAGCTGGGCTTAAAGGACAGGAGTCTCCCTCAAGAGAGGCTGTGGCTGACAAGGGGCTGGATCCCACGAGGAGGCTGTGGAGCCCGCTCCCAGAGCACTCCGAGTTCAGACACGCTTCTGCCAGCTCTCCTAGGCTCCCCTGGCTTCTGTGTCAGGTACAGGTGGGACAGACATGCCTTCAGCTAACGCCCACTCCTCTCTGTGAGGGTCTTGGCACGGCTGCCACCCCCTCGGGGGCCCACAGGGGTGGCGGTGCTGTTGGCATATGTGTCGTAACTGTTGTCTGAACACACGGAGAGCTCGTCGGACACCTCTACGCCATCGCTGATCTCTGCTGGGCCAGAGGGAGACAGAATGTGAATTGGGGAGGAGGCAGTCATGAGAATGGCTGACAGACAGGGTGGGAAGGCTGCACCACCCAGCCAGGCACTTGGAGGCGGATGAAACCATTGGGCTCAGGTTGACATTGAGCCTGGCACTCAAAGCCCCTTTGGTCTCTGCTGAGCACTCTAGCTTCGCCTTTGTCTGCTGTCCCCTGGGACTCCACTTTGCAGCTACAGAAAACCACCTGTGCCCCTGAGCTTGGCACCCATGTGTCCACTCTTCTAAGGGCCTTGGTGTGTGTCGGCCCCTCTCTCAGGAGTGACTTCCCCAACAACACCTCCTTTTCCTATAGTGTGGCTCACATCTTCTCTTCTGTCACTCAGCCTCCTGGGAGCCTCATCGGAGCCCCAAGCTGGGTTGGGGCCTCCTCATGGCCACCCCAGCCCCTGTTTCCCTCTGTCTGGCCACATTCTGTATGGTTGCTGCCTGGGCCCCCGAAACACCTCAAGGACAGGGGTGTGCTCTAGGCATCTGTGTCCCCAGGGTGTGGTAGAGTGTTGGGCACAGAGCAGAGGCTCAAGAAAGCTCTGCTGAGTAGATCTCGCCCCCATGGAGCTGCCTCACTTCCTTCTTGGTGCCCAGGCAAGCGGTGCTCCCTTGCCACCTCTGCACACATGCCATGCCCATCTGGAATGTCCTTCCTTCCCTGAGCTCACTCAGCCCTCATCTGGAAGCCTTTACCGAAGCACCTCCTCCACATCCTCCCCATCTCAATGTATCAGGCACCCAATGCCTTCCTCACTGCCCAGGCAGTCTGACCACACCCTCCCCCAGCACTCCCAATGCAGGAACTCAACTTCCCATGCCTCTGTTAATGCAGCTGCCGCCTCCATCAGCCTGGGAATGTTGACAGGGACTGGCAGAGAGCAAGGATGAGGCCAATATTGTAGGATCCGAGTACAAACCAGGCAAAGTGGGATGGGCCTTCAAAACAAGACTCCTCTCCCTGTCCCACCCCTGCCCACCAACCATGACACCGAACCATGGTGGATGACACTGAGTGGATGACTGTGTGTGGCGGGGTGTGTGTTTCCACACTTGTGCTTGTGCCTTTGTGTGTGGGTATAATACCAGAGGGTTTGTGTATGTCTGTGCCCGTCTCCCTACCCATATGTGCTGCATGTGAATGTATGTGCATACACATCTGTTTGCATGGGGGGGTGTAGACAGCTGAACCCAGGGCCTGCCTCAGCCTGTCTACAGGGCTGCGCACCTGAGAAGATGAGCTTCTCCTTCATGATGCTGACGTCCCGGCTGGTCCGGCGCACCGCGGCGCTCAGCATGATCTGCTCAGGGTTGTAGCTCCGTATGCCACCCAGGCGCCACCTGCAGAGACGGCCCTATGGGCATCAGGTCCCTCCCACCCCTTCCTTGGAGCAGGGACCCTGCCTACTTCCAGAGCCTCCCTGGATGTGGCCTGAGAGGGCAGCAGGACTCTTGTCCCACTGTACAATGGGGAAACAGGCCCAGAGAGGGCGGAGCTGGGGCTTGAATCAGAGCCTACTGACTCTCAGCCAGGGTTCCCCGGCTTCCCTCTTACCTCCAGAGCTGTCAGTCAGCAGCCCTGGCCCAGGACTAGGTTTGGTTAGTTCTGTCTCAGGTGTCCCCAGTTATGCACCTGGCTCTCTGAATGCGACAGATTTGGGAGCAAGCAGGAAGAGCTCAGTAGGCATTCTGTTGAGTGTCCCCCCCCTAAGCTGGGGCACACACCAATCTCGGAGTCCCAGCTGATTGATGTCTCTGATAGCTCTACCATCATGACCAGGGTAAGCGAAGCCAGAGGGGAGACCCCCTGAGAGGAAGGGAAGGAAAGGTGGAGGCAGGCAGTAGGGGGCTTTGCCCAGAGCTGGTCTGCACAGGTTCCCAAGGCAAGGGGGTTCGAGTGACTTGGAGTGGGGCCAGTTGCTGCTCTGTCCTGGCAGTTCTAATGGGGAGGGGAGCATGACTCCTCTGATGGCAGAGACAGGTGCAAGGTAGGGGTAAACTGACTCAAGAATGGGCTGGGAGGTGAGGCGTGCACAGGGCATGCAGGGACCAGGCACTGAGTGGAAAGGACTCAGGGTCCTGTGCCCAGCTGAGGCCACTGTCTTCACTACCGTGGTTCCTCTGAACTAACCCCAGGTCCCTGGCCTCTGAACTTAGACCCTTCCTGGGACCTAGGCAGAAGGATCATTAGACTCTTAACCCTGTCTCCTCCAAGAGGAGTGGGTGATCAGCTTGGGAACAAGAACCCAACTGCCTTAGGGACTGAACCCTGCTTGGGGGATGGAGGGAGTCAAGACTCCACAAAAAAAAATTGTAAATTTCTAGATGGGGTCAGCGCAGCAGAATTGGACAGACAGATGGACAGGCTGATGGATGAGCAGAGCAGGCAGACAAGGAGAAAGCAGGAGGTAGGGGTGGCACGAACACTCTGGCGGGGCTGGCTGCCCTGTGAGTCGTTGAGGGCAGCGAGCAAGTCTCTCTCTGTTCATTGCTGTGCCCGACACCATCAGTGCCTGCCGTGTCCCGGGAGCCTGACCTGTACTTGTTGAGTAAATTAATGAAAGAATAAGGCCCGAAGGGAAATGATATCCCTCCCCCTGGCCTTGTCCCCCAGGGTCTCTTCTGCCAGCAGTCCTCTCCTGATCCCCAGGAAGCAATGACACCATCCTGGCTGTCTGAGCAAACCCAGCATGTCTGGGCCAGCCACTGAATCTCCATGGGGTGGCCTCCCCGGCACTCTGGGGCTCCAAATGAGAAGGCCAACTCCTGCTGCAGGCATAGCACTAGACCCAGCAGCAGCCAGCATGCGCGGGTGCTGGTCAACTGGGTGAACAGAGGAATGACTCAGGGAATGTACCACAGCCAGGGACAGCATCTCCTAGAAGCTGGTTGGTGAAGCTGCCTGACCCAGGATGGTCTAAGGCACTAGACAGAGGGAGACTTGGGTCCCTAAACTCTAGGTCTCATCCTGGAAATTCACGTTGAAACCCAGGACAGTGTCAGGCCAGGGTCTCTTAGCCAGGCACATCCAGAACCGGAAGCTCAGCCACTGTGGGGTCCCCTGAGGGGAATGAGAAAAACGCTGTGTGTTGGGGAGCAAAGCAGGGATGCGTGTCAGACAGAATGTAAAGAAGAGACAGAAAGAGATGGGAGAGGCAGAAAAAGATAAACAGGAAGAGTAAACAGTGGTAGAGGCAGAGCCAGGGAGGGAGAATATTGGAAGACAGAGACAGAAACTTGGTAGGGTCTGCCCTGGGCAGGTCGTGAAGGCCCTGGTGAGTGCCAGAGGCAGGGGGATGGGGGTGCCCAGGCAGGGTCCCCTCTCCCAGAGGGAGACACTTTGGTGCAGAGACAGGCCAGGTCAGGATGCTGTCAAGGAAACACTGGTCCCCACCTGCAGAAATGGCCATGGGAACAGGGAGCAGAGGGACACACACGGCGGCGGGAGGCAGCGGGACAGGAGGAACAGAAAAGGGGATTGCAGGGGTGAAGGAGGCTTCAGGCGAGGGCACTGTCTGCGAGGTGACCCAGGCACAGGGCTTGGTGCATGGCAGGTTTTTAGACAGAACTGGAGAAAGGCATGGCAAGAGGGAGAAAGAGGAACAGGAGGAGGAGGAAGACCACACCGGAATTACCTGATCAAGTGATAGCTGTGAGATGCCAGAGTGCAGCAGAGAGAGGGGGAGGGGGAGAGAGGAGGGACATGCGCCGATCAGAGCAGGATGGGACAGAGAGAGAACGTCAGTCAAGAATAAAATCCCGGCCCCTTAGTTTCTGGCTGGGTAGGGGCCCCGGGCTGGCCCTAGACCCTCCCTGGGACCAACCACACCTCCCCACTGAGCACTCCCCAGCTACCTTGCTGAGGGCTGGTGGGAACCCATGCCCTGGCTAACGGGTGAGCAGGCCAGCCCAGAGAGGAGCTGAAATTCATTTAAGCCCACACAGCCACTCAAGGCAGAGCTTGGCTCCGGACACCATGTTCATTCCAGAAGCCACCCAGCCTCTGTCCGAGGGAGGGAGGGAGGATGGGGCCACCAGAGTGTTGCTTCTCCCCTGGTCAGGCCTGCTCCTGGCTGGGGGCCCAGACTTCAGGAGCAGGTTCACCTGGCTGGGGCAAGGGCTGGGCCTGCTGCAGGGTAGTGACAGCCACGGAAGTGGTCAGATCCTACTCACTTCTGGAGCACGAAGATGCCCACGATGAGGGTGAAGGAGATCAGGTCGGCAGTGACCCACATGAGACAGTACTCGTCCGGGGGCTGTGGACAGACGGCCCAAGGCCAACTTCCAGTCATGGCCAGTCCAGACTGAGGTTCCAGACTAAGGTCCGTGGGCCAGAGGACCCCATGTGGCCACTGGGGAAGGGCAAGGGAGGACCCTGAGGGAGTCTGGGGGCAGAAGATTTCATTTTGCAGGCATGGGCTCCGGGTGCTGTGGGCCTGGGGGCTGGGGTGTGTCTGTGTGCATGTGTGCTCTCAGGGTAGCAGGGGACTGTATGGTGCTCAGGGCAGAGGGGGCGTGTGCTAGGCCTGCAGGTCTGTGTGCCCAGGGGCCTCAAAGCAGGAGCCAGATACTGAAAGACAGTGGCCCTGCCCTCCATCTCTCCTGACTCATCCCAGCAGTCTTACCGTCTTTCCCCCGGCTGCCTTCCCTTCACCCTCCTCTCCCACATAACCATCCACGCTTGGGTCTGATTCATTGGCACTGCATTCTCTCAGCCATAAGGACACCCTCTGTCTGCCTTCCGTGTGCTCAGGGAGGTGGCGGTGGAGCCACTACCCCACTGTCAGAAGGGAGGTCAAGAGCCCCCCAGCTCCCTGGGGCAGAACAGGGATGGGAACCCAGCCGTCTGCAGGTGTTCGGTCAACCAGCTAAATAGCATTTTATTTGCTGTTCTCTGAGCAGATTTTAATGTTTCCTACTCTTTTTTTTTTTTTTTTTCTTGAGACAGGGTCTCATTTTGTCACCTAGGCTAGAGTGATTACAGCTCACTGCAGCCTCCGCCTCCTGGGCTCAAGCAATCCTCCCACTTCAGCCTCCTGAGTAGCTGGGACTACAGGCGCATGCTACCATTGCCAGCAAATTAAATTTTTTTTTTTTTTTTTTTTTTTTTTTTTTTACAGACAAGGCCTCACTATGTTGCCCAGGCTGTACTCCTGGGCTCAAGTGACCATCCTGCCTCTGCTTCCCAAAATGCTGGGATGATAGGTGTGAGCCTGGCCCATGCTTCCTTTTCCTGCCCTATTGTTACTCTCCAATCCAGAGACCCAAGCAGCTCTCTACTTCTCTAGGGCCCTGAGTGATGCTTTTCTCCCTGTGGATCAGGCCCCAGGTCCTCCCAGGACCTTAGTGCAGGTCCCAGAGGCCATGAAATCCTCCTCATGCTTCAAGCCTGCACCCCGTCCACGGACTCCCCACCGCTGCAGAGACCTCCCAGGGTCAGCCCCAAGCACAGAGCTTGCCAAGTTGTCAGAGCAGGCCATGGGCAGCTCCACCACTGCCCCCAACTCACCATGATCCAGAGTGGGGAAGGCACCTGGGAGAGGGTGTGGGAGTTGTCAGAGGTGACGGATGGGACCCCTGCACACCACAGCAGGGAGAAGAGCCATGGCGCGTTGACTGTGTAGAGGTTCACACTCAGGTTCCAAGATGCGTAGTCCCTGTGTGGCAGGGAGAGGCGGGTCAGCATGTGGACTCTGGTAGCTCCAGGCCCAGTGTGGGGGCTGAGAAAGCACATCCTCTTCACGACCTCACAGCCATGGCCGGAGAAAGGAACGTCACTCCAGAGGGCCACACTCGGGGACGCACTCACCCGCTCATCTCTGAACCACATGGGCCTGATTCCCATGTGCTCATCCCTCTGCCCGACTGTGTGTGTGTGTGTGTGTTGGGGGGTGGTTGTGGCAGAACTGGGGGAGACTCAGTCCCACCCTCTCCTGGGGCAGGGCAGGCACCTGAGCTCCTGGCTGGACACCTGAGTGTAGTGCAGGTTCAGCCGCTGGATGTGGCCTCTCCGCAGAGTGGTGACTGCCTCCTTGAGGCCTGATGTCTGCTGGAAGCCGGGAGCCACCTTCCGCACCAGGGTCCTCTGCTTGTTAGGCAGCCACAGGACCTGTAGGCAGGAGAGGGGCAGCCTCAGACTTCTCTGCACAATGGGGAAAGAGTACCTACCCTTCCCAGAGCCCCTGTGGGGTGAAGAGATGGGACCTGGTGGGCAAGGAAAACTCATTAGCAGGGGAGGACTCTGTCCTAGCCAAGGCTGCAAAACGCACTGGCAGCAACTCAGGAAGCTTCCCTCTGGCCTGCTGTCAGTACAGGAGGGAAGCCCAACAGCCACTACTCTGCATGTGGCTGCTAGCACCTAGTGTGCCGTCCTAAACTGGCATCAGATTTCTCTGGCCCCAAATTATTACACCACATGACAGGGCAACCCTTCACTGAAGTAACTTGACAGCCTGGACCTTTATACATTTTAAAGTGTTTTCTTGTTCCTCTCTTGTCCCATGATGACTCTGGCAGGGAGGCAAGGGGTGCGTGATCCCCACTTTACAGATGGGAAAGCTGAAGTCTGGAGGGCAGCAGGGAGAGGTTACGCAGCAGCAGGGCTCCAGCCAGGCCAGGGCTCTCAGGGCAGAGTGGTGCTGCGTGGCCTCACCTGGTGCTGGGGGAAGCCAGAGCGCAGCACGGCCTCCAGAGTGACGTTGAGGAAGCTGTTGCGGTAGGGGTGCTCCCGGGGCGGGTCGCGCAGGTTGAGCAGCAGTGTGGCATTGCCTTTGGCCAGCTCCAGGAGCTCTGCCAGGCTGCAGATGGACTGGTTCTGGGCCTCTCTGTAGTCGGACGGTGACAGGGAGCTGGCCGTCCAAAAGGGGTCAGTCTGGCAGGGACAGGGACACACACATGGCTGCATCACCAGCCCTTTGGGGGCCCCCACATGCCCTTCTGGCAATCAAGCATGGAGACCCCTGGGCTGCCAGTCTCCTGGGGTCAGGCTGATTGATGGCTGTGGCCATGTGAAGGCTGCAGGAGGCCCCAGCCCTAACCTTCCTACCCCACACCCTGCTTACCAAGAGGATGGCTTGCTTGGAATAGCTCCCACACCCCACAGCATTTCTCCTTCTGGAGCATTTCAGACCAGACAGCCAACCCCTCTCCGGAGTTTTACAGAGTTGATGCTATTCACTGCTCTCATTCCTGTCAACTTTTTCTAGTGAGGGAAACGGACCCAGAACAAGCAGTGACAACCACGAGATATGGCAGCAGTGGCAGGAGCCCAGGAGGCCACCAAGCAGCTTGGGTGGGGGTCAGGAAGCTCTGGGAGTGGGGGTCTCGGGAGCAGATGGCCACCATTGCCTCTCACTCCCTGGAGTCCCTGCTGGTACTTTCCAAGCCTAAGACTGGGATCAGGTGCAGCCAGACCTTCAGGAACCACTGGCCAGCGTTGAGCCTCTGCAGGGTGGTCCAGTTGAGCATGGAGGCAGGCCTGCGGGCGAGCTCCGGGAACTCCTCCTCCACGTTGGTGGTGCGCCGCAGGGTGGCATCATGCATGAGGAAGGGCACGCCATCCAGGCTGCAGGGAGGGTGGGCCGCCGAGTCACTGACCCCCCCATCCCTCACCTGCCCACCAATGACCGTCACCCCCACAGTCCTCCCCACCCAGCACAGGATCTGGCTGGCTCTGCCCCTCTCTGGGCCTCAGTCTCCCCATCTGCACAGGAAAGACAGTGGGCTGGTGGATGACCCTAAAGGCCTTCTGGCTCTCTGTGAGGGTCAGATGGGGGGTGGGGACTGCCAAGAACGGCGGGCTGAGAAAAAGCTGGACCTACTTTCTTAGCAAGCTTGGAAGGTAGGTGCTGCCTCATTTGGTAATGAAGCAACTGAGGGTAAGAGAGGGAAGTATCTAGCTCAAGGTCCACAGCCTGGACGTGGTGGAACCGGGTTTGAGACCAAATCCCTGTGATGCTATGAGAGCAGTGCAAGTGTAGACCTCTTTAGCCAACTTCACACAACCCCAATCCTTGTCTGCTCTACCAGGGCCACTAATAGCTCACAGGGTGCCTTAGTGTGAAACAGTAGAAGGCACCCTTGCCCTCTGTCCCTCAAGGCATTTTACCACTGTCTGCTAGAAAGTTACAATAAATACACAATTCTGTATCTATACTGGGAACAATGTCCTCATATATGTGATGTCCTTGTTCAGTGTATAACCTGTGCAACTACATATGGCAGTCCTGCCCTTCTTCCCTTTTCAGATAACCTCTGTTATGAGAGTGCTATGGATTCTTCCTGCCATTTATACTAAAATCTACTTTTATATGTGCATGGAGAAAGTGTATACGTCACTTTTTTGTGGTCTTTTAAAATGTAACTGGAATTACAGTGAATGTATCACTCTGCAACTTGCTTTATTTCACTCATGAGAGTGTTAGAGTTCTGTCATGCAGAGCCATAGAGATCTAGTTTTCCCTTCAAGCTGCTCTGTGGCAGGACTCCAGGTCCCTACCCCTACCCCTGCTTGCACGAAGAGCATTTGTTCTTTCTTCTATTTTACATCCTGGAGCCTGTAGGACAGGGTGACTGCCCTGCTGTGGATAATCTAAGCCTCTATCCTCCCATCTCAGAGGCTCTGAGACCAGAGGTTTCCCCAGCAGAGACCCAGGTAGATGCAGATGTGTGTGGGAGGGGTTAGAGGAGCTGTTTTTCCTCTGCTACACCTACCTGATGGTAATGTCAGCCTGGAGCCCATATAGCTTCTGCTCGAGGGCCTTCCGGAAGGACATGAGAGTGTGCTCTGGAGCCAGCTGGGGAGGAAGGAGTGGTGAAGGGAGAGCCAAGAGTCAGCTGATGTACCCTCCCCAGCCAATGGAAAATCTTCCATGTTGGGAGGCTGGGCCAGGCATGGTTCTAATTCTTGCTCCTCCATGGTGTAGCTGTGTGACCCTGGGCACCCACTCAGCTTCTCTGAAGTTCAGCTTCCTCATCTGTTAAATCATGCTTACCTCACTGGTTTCACTGCGGGGCAGGGGAGGCAGGGCTAGTGAGTGTTGATGCATATAAATGCCTGACATGTAGCTAGCACTCGATACCTGGTAGCTATGGTCACTGTGTTTTCATTGCTGTATCCCAGCCACTGAGCTAGACACTGGGGCTGGAGGGCTTTTTTACACTCCTCTGTGGCAATCTGGCAGTCTTGGGCTGGGGCTGAAAGTCAAATTCCCTCTTGGTTATACCCTGAGACAAGTCCAGGGGGAGAACTGGAAGAAGAGCAGGTGGATGGGATGGTAGAGTTTCAGTGGGGACCCAGTTTCCTCATCTGTACAAATATGACAGTACCATTTCCTTCCCTGGACTGCTACGTGAATTAAAAGCCTCTAGCACCCTGCCTGATATATATAGTAAGTGCTTAATAAATGGTAACTGTTTTGCCCTTACATCATCCTGGTTCTAGCATTTTTTTGTTTTATTTCTTTATTTCTTTTGTTTGTTTTTTGAAAATAAAATTGTACTTTTTAGGTATAGGTTCTAGCATTTTTTTAAGAGACAGGGTCTTGCTGTCACCCAGGCTGGAGTGCAGTGACACAATCACAGCTCACAACAGTCTCAAACTTCGGGGCTCCAGCTATCTTCCCGCCTCAGCCTCCCAAATAGCTGGGACTACAGGTGCATGCCACCACACTGGGCTCTGGTTCTAGATTTGACTCTGCCATTAACTATTGTTCTGACTTTAGGTATATTTCCCTGTGGATCTCAGTTACCCATGTGCCCCTTAGAGATGTGTATTCATGAGGGTCCCTATGCTTAGGAGAGTTGGGGTTCTAAGTCTCCCTCCCTAGTTCCATCTGCTCTGAGGATTCTGTCATACCCTTTGCTGCCACTGGGGGTCAGCACCAAACCAAGGATTGAGCTAAGACCAGGTCTATGAGGGAAGGAGGGAGGGAGGACACCCCTCTTCCCCCAGCCCTGGTCAGTGAAGGGGTGAGGTGGGAAGGCTGATCTCATTCATTCCCACAGACAATCCTGTTCCCACCTTCTCTCCCTCTGGCCACGATGTTCCCCAGCCACACCCTTCTTCTGTGACACAACCTAGCACTGGGGAGCCAGGGAGTGGCAAGGACTTTGGAAGGGACTGAAAAGGCACAATTCCACTTCCCAGACACAGCTGGGGCCTCAGTTTCTTTAGCTACAAAATGGATTAACACTATCAACCTCAGGCCGGGCGCGGTGGCTCAAGCCTGTAATCCCAGTACTTAGGGAGGCCGAGGCGGGTGGATCACGAGGTCAAGAGATCGAAACCATCCTGGTCAACATGGTGAAACCCCGTCTCTACTAAAAATACAAAAAATTAGCTGGGCATGGTGGCGCGTGCCTGTAATCCCAGCTACTCAGGAGGCTGAGGCAGGAGAATTGCCTGAACCCAGGAGGCGGAGGTTGCGGTGAGCCGAGATCGCGCCATTGCACTCCAGCCTGGGCAACAAGAGCGAAACTCCATCTCAAAAAAGAAAAAATAATACACTATCAACCTCATAGGTGAGGTAACAAATGTCAGAGACCCTAGCCCAGGACCTGGCACACAGCAGGGTCTCTGTAATGAGTTCTTTCTTCCCCTATCCCTGGCACAGAGCACCCTTAGAGGACATGCTACCTGTCTCCCAGTCCAGTGGGCTGTGAGGCACTCCCAAAGGGAGCAGGACTATAAAGGCACCGAGAGAGAGGCATAGACTCAGTGGAATCCCACCCATCTCTAAATATCCTATGATATTTAGACATGTGGACTCAGAGTCAGAGCCCCCAAGGCAGTGCACAGGGACACACAGAGGGGACCTTTACCAGACCCTCAAAAACTACTATCAGGGCACGACCAGCCAGATGCACAATATGAAAAGTTTCACAGGACAAATGACTGTTTCTCAGGACAAATAAATAGCATAAGGGAAAAAAGGGAGGGGGATTGTTATAGACCAAAAGACACTCAGGAGACATGCCAGCAGATGCATGCTGTGGACCTCATTTGAATCCTGTTTTTCGTTTGTTTGTTTGTTTTGTTTTTTGAGATGGAGTCTCACTCTTGTTGCCCAGGCTGGAATGCAATGCCGCAATCTTGGCTCACTGCAACCTCTGCCTCCCGGGTTCAAGTGATTCTCTTGCCTCAGCCTCCTGAGTAGCTGGGAATACAGGCACCCACCACCACACTCGGCTAATTTTTTGTACTTTTAGTAGAGATGGGGTTTCACCATGTTGGTCAGGCTGGTCTCAAACTCCTGACGTCAGGTGATCCACCCACCTCAGCTTCCCAAAGTGCTGGGATTACAGGCGTGAGCCACCATGCCCCGCTGAATCTTGACTTTTAACAACTATAAAAAGATATTTTTGAGACAATAAAGGAAAACTAAACAGGGATTCCATTTTAGATAGTATTAAGGAATCATTATTCTTAATATTGGCTGGGTGTAATAACGGCATGGTGGTTATGTATCTTTCTAAAGTCTTCATGTGTTACCGATACATCCTGAAGTGCGCATGGGTAAGACAATAAGTTGCCTAAGATTGGCTTTACTATCCCAGGAAAAAAGTGGGGACAGATGAAGCAAGAATGGCAAAATGTTGATAAACATGGGGTTGGAGTCATTACATTCTTCTTCATTATGTGCGTCATTACACAATTTTTTTTTTCCACTTCTGCATATGTTTGACATTTTTCTACTAAAGAAAGCCATCCTCCCTGGGGCCACCTCACCCACCCATCTTCTTGCTTCAGGACACTGCTTGTGTCCCCTGGCCCCTAGAGGGAGCACAGAAGATGGTAATCTGGGTCTGGAGACAGGAGGGGCCATAATTTTGAGCTCCTGATAAGAGTCCCCCTGCCCCCACTGGGAAGGCTGGGCTCCAACTGGTCCTCACATTAGCCAGTGGCATGGGCATCTGCACCTCTGAGGCACAGAGAGGACTGGTGACTTCTCCAAGATGCACAGGCAGCATGTGGCCAAACTGGGCCTCAGATCCAGATCCCCACTGGCTGCCTCTGGGAGGGGCCAGGGCCAGCACAGGGGTCCAGCTTAGGGGCTGGAGTCTTATTTAGAAAATAACACCCACCACACACAGGGGGCCAGACTTCCAGGGTGAGTGGCAGCCCGGCAGACCCAGCACCTCCTTCTGAAGCAGTTGTGTGAGGCCCCCTTACTACCCTGAGGTCCTGCAACAGCCTGGAATGCCCGAGAGGCCAAGCCCTCAGGAAGTACCCACATGCCCCCTCGGCAGGGTGGAGGTGGTACTGCCTCTGCTGAGAAGCCCGGGCTCAAGGCTTTCGTGGAGCAAGAGACCCTGATCCAGAAAGACGGCCCTGCCCAAGGTAACAGCAGTGTGTACTTGTTACTTTCTGTGTGTCGCATGCATATCTGGGCACTGCTCACATGCTAATTCCTGCTCCTTGCAGTCCCATGGCAGGTGCTCTCACTAGTTCCATGGTACAAGATGAGGGAACCAGGCACAGAGATGGAAACTGTTGTGCCCCTCACAGCTGGCCGGGCTGCGCCGGGATGCTGACTCAGGCAGCACGGCTCCAGAGCCTGCCCCTCGCCAAAGCTCTCCTGCAGGGCCATGAGGTGCCTTGGTGCAGAATGTGGCGCTGACTTTGACCCCTTCCTCTCTCTCTAACTCAACTCGGTTTAGCCGGGTGGGCTCTGAGCTGCCTCCCGGCTCTCCTGGCAGGTTCTGATGCCTGCTGGCAGCCCCCAAGCCCTACACTCAGTATCCATCTCCCTGCCCTTCCTAACCTGCACCTGGGTCTAGCCTGGGCCTAAAACCCTCCTGCATCTCTACAGGGCACTTAGGACAAAAGTGAAATCTTTTTAGCAAGAGGCCTTCAGCACACGTCAAGATGTGCTTCCATGCCAGCACTCCTGGCCTTTTCACCAATTCTTCCCATGTACCCCCACCCGCCCCCGCAAGAAAGCTACAAATGGTTGCTACTATTACATATATCCGTTTTCCAAGAAGGTCCTCCCATCTCACCCACCCCTATGGGGCTGTTAGGACCCTGAGGTAGTACTCACCATGGGGGCCCCTCGGTGGCCAATGAGGGCGGGCTTGGGGCCGAGGTCCTTCTTTTCCATGATGCAGGGAGAGGAGATGGTGAGAGGGACCAGGTAGAGGGCAAACACCACGGTGAAGAAGGTGCAGAGAATGGTCACCTGGGAGGCTGCAGACAAGGGGCCGTGTCACCTGGTGAGCTCTGGGTAGGTTGGGGTGCAATGCTGGACCCCTCTACCCCTGACCTGTCAGGACTCAGGTGCTCTGGGGGTCAGCCCTCCCTCATTCTTGCTGGGAAGGTAAACCCTGCCTCTAACTCACACAGACACACGTGAACGCATGCAGAGAGACATGAGGAGGAATACAGTGTGATGCTGACCAAAGCTTCAACCCTCCGTGGACTCCCTGGGCCACTCTGAGCCAGAACCCCCCTCACCGAGTGTGGGGGCCCCACCCCAACCCCAGGCCACTCAGGGAAAGCCCAGGTCAGGGCAGCGCCAGCTGGTCTTGGCACCTGCAGGGGTTGGAGGGGCAGGCCTTTCCAGTCCTACTCACAAGTCCGCTCTGTGCGGGCAAACTGTCCTGCCACGATCCAGGAGAGCACAGTGACTGCGGCCAGGGCCCCCACGTGCAGGAATGGCGCTGTGCCCTGTGCAGGGAGAGGTAAGGGAGACCAGTGATGCCCAGGTCTGTCCAGACTCTCTGTCACCAGCTTTCTACCTCTACCCATGGGGCAGGCAACTCTGTCTTCATCTGCCAAGTGAGGACACTGGAGCCTCAAGACGCTGGCATCCTCCCTAGCTCTGACCTGCTCTGTGACCTTGGGCCCCTCCCTGCCCCTCTTTGGGCCTTGGTCGGGAGAAGGGGAAGTGGCAGAAAGGCTCTTGTTGTGGGGGTCCTGGGGGAGCAGCCACCCAGGCCCCCTCCCCACTCACCTGCAGGGAGATCAGCAGCACCTCCCACTCGTCCTCCCACAGCTGGGCCACAGCCGACATGGCCACCACCGTGGAGGCCAGGATGACCACCAGGGCGATCTGGAGGGGGAAGTCACCAGACAGAGGCTCAGAGTGGGTGGGAGGGTCCCCAGTGTGTCTGAGAGAGGGGCCAGAGGGAGAGACGGGCAAGAGCAGGAGAGGCCGATGGAGCAGGGCAGAGGGGAGGGAGGAAAGAGACAGGCGTGGGATCTGAGGAAACCAGGCACCAGCAGACGGAGATGGCAGGGAAAGACTGAGGCAGGAGGAGGCCGGCAGATGCAGGGAGGAAGGGACAGTGAGAAATGGAAGGAAGGATGGAGACAGGAGGAGGAGGGAGCTGTGAGGAGGGAGGACATTCAGTAATGGGGACCTCTCCTGGGGCCAGCAGGTTAGTGACATTCAAGGTCCGGCCCAGCCTCCCTGCCACCTCAGCATGGCACAGCAGAGGAAGAAATCCACTTGCCCAGGCCATGCCCAGGCCTCAGGGGAAGGAGGCTGAGGACTGGGGTCTGCTGCAGGAGCCTGGCACCCTGGGCTGGGCTCACAGTGGCACTTCAGGCAGGGGTGGGTGGTGAAGCACAGCTCCACCCGCCCCATCTCCACAGCCTGCCCTCTCCTGGCCTCCCAGCATCCAGGTCCACCATGATGGAGGCCGCCCTCCTTGCAGCCTCCAGAAGAAAGCAGATCACAGCTCTGAGGGAGGATGAGGTGGCACCTCCAAGGGACAGAGATCTCTGGGAACAGATGAGACCTGAAATCTTCAACCATGTGAAGCTCATGAAGCTTCAGCCTCTGTGAAGCCGAAGTTTTTGACTCCTCAGCCCCCAGCCCCTGGTCCCTGGCCCTGGATCTCACTCCACCCACACCCAGGCATCCCCACCCCCAGGCCAGCCTCCCTAAAGGCCAGGCTTCGCCTCTCCTCCAAAGCCTCCCATAGCTCTCAGGTTCTGGAGGGTCAGTCAAAGCCACCACCTGTCCCCGTGGTTTCTCCAGACTCGTCTCCCACCTCCCTGCAAAGGCCTGTCCTTCTCCCTGGAGAAGGCCAGTTGCCCTGCCTCCTTGGAGCCACTCTCACTGTTGGCGGGGCCCTCACCCCTTTTCTCCCCAGGCAATCTCTCCCAGAGGCAGCAGCAGCCAAGGACCCTCTGACACCAGCCGAGCAGGGACAATGGCGTTTCTAGATGATGAGGGTGGGGTGGTGGCTAGCGTCTCTGTTCCCTGCCCAGGGACCTTCACTCGCTCGGGGTGGGGAGGAAGGCTGCGTCTCGCCTGGGATGAAATTTCCCTTTGGAGGCTTTTCATTCCAGCCCATCAACCTGGAAATGAATGTTCCCCCAGGAGACGTGAGAGGCCAGAAGCAGGTGAGGGGCTGGAGGGGCTGTGACATGCGGGCTCGGGGCGGGAAGAGGCCCAGGCATGCCTGGGCCAGCCGGAGAGCTTCGCGTGGTCCCCAGGTTGGTTCTGCAGAGGCGCGGGCATCTTCATCTTACACACAGGAAGCGGGGTTCGGGGTGGAATGGCTGGCTGGGTCATGGAGCTTTGAAGGGGCAGAACCAGAAACGAACACCTTCTTCCCATCTCAGGGGGTGAGGGGCTGTGCGCTCTCTTGGAGGAAGAGTGGTGGGCTAGTGTGTCAGGGAGGCTGAGTGTCAGGTGTCAGGAGGTGTCAGGGAGGCTGAGCAGCCTCTGGGAGGCCTGGCTGTGCCTCCGGAACCCCTGAGAACCCCACCCTCGGTACTCAGGCCCCTCCTCCCGGCTGCCCCAGGCGCGCAGCTGCCTGCTTGTGACCGTCGTGGGAGGAGGCCCTGCACACAGCGAGTGCCTTGGAAGGGTGGTTTTTGGGAGTGTCGCATCATAATACTTAACTGCTAATGGAAATGACTTGCAATAAAACTGATTCCCCAAACCTTAATACAATTAAAAATGTTATTATCTCTGAGTTCCACGGCTGCTTTGGCAGTAACCATCACGCTCAGCAGCATCACTGCACGGCCGGTGTCTATGGGACTTCTCCTGCCTTGCATCATTAAGCCACAGCAATAGCACTGAGACCCAACAACATAACCACCATCGCTCCTTAAATCTGACTGAGAAGGATGAATCGCACCCTAGAGGCCCAGAGACAGACCACCGCCCTCCTCTGAGAAAACAGTCTTGGGTTCTCTGTCCTTATGGGACTGTGGCTTGTGATGGCAATGGCGGGAACAAAGGATACAATAGCGCCTTTCATTCACTCTGAGTCTGGCCTACGTGCTGGGACCCGAGAGGAGGTGGAGCCCCGCCTTGTAGAGGTGCAACGGCTAGCCTCCTGGGGGTACCTGACCTCTGGGTTCTGCAGTCCAAAGGGCAGACAGCTGGCCCAGGGTTAAGAGCCTCACTTGAGGCACGGTCCTCAGTCAAATCCTGGCTCTGCTACCTACTGGGGATCTTTCCACACCCTCTCCAGGGACCTTCCCAGAGCTGTGAAATAGGGATAGCAAGTACCTACCTGCAAAGGGCTTGGGGAAGATCAATGAGGAAATGCGAGTGCATTGCTTAGTACAATGCTGGTCAGAAGCAAATGCTAGCTAAATCTCAGTGGTATCATTTTAAAAAGTGGGCATGGTATCAAGGGAACAGGATTATTGTGAGGAGCGAAATGATTGTGAAATGGTGGTTACTGCTGTTATGGTGAATGCAGTGCCTGGCACACACAGGAGGCTCTCAGAGAATGTGTCTTCCTTCTGAAGCTGCTGCTGGAGGGACAGAGGCTGGACACCAGGAAGAACCTTCAAGCTGGGGCCAGTGCATGGAGAGAAGTCTGGATTCAGCAGGAGAGGTGATGAAATAGACGCAGCAGATGGCAGGTAGAGGCTGATGGAGCCTTGGTAGGAGGCAGAAGCCCTAGACCCAGCCCAGCCAGTAGCTTGCCATGGGGCTATGTGGCACCCTGTGCTCCTCTTTGGGGCTCAGGTTGGGTCCCTGACAGATCCCTTCTCTGTGCAGGTCCTAGGCTAGGGGCTGCTGCCACTGAGGCAGGGGAGTCAGGCGAGGACACAGGGCAGTGCAGGGTACTTGGGGCAGCTAGGGAGGTGCGAGCTGTGGCCAGAGCGCCTCCCAGAGGGTAGTGGGCAGGGCAGGAAGGGGGGCATCTCAGGGAAAGGGCCTCCTGTTTACTGTAAAGCCCCCAAAAGAACCCTTCAGCCTGCTCCCTCACCTCCTGGGTACCTCAATTTCTCCTGAATGCTCACCCGGAAGAGATTGCTGGGAAACGGAAGATTTGGGCAGACTGGGGAAGAGGAGGAAGGTCCCCACATGGGCACCAAATCCCCCTCCAGCACCAGCCTGCCGTGAACGGCTCCCTCTCACGCTGTCCTGAGCACCTCTGACCTCCCCTCCTCAGGACTCAGGAGAACCAGAGACTCTCAAAATATAGTTCATGATTAAAACATACTATAAAATTGTGGTCTTTAGAGCACTGTGATGCTGATATAAGACCAGATAGACAAATGAAAATAAGTAAAAAGTTCAGAAATAGATCCAAATACATAAAGAAAATTTGGTATATGGTAAAAGTAGCATCTCAAATGAGTAAAGGACAGATTCTCAGTAGAGAGAGTAGGGAGCACTGACAAAGCATCTAAAAAGAGCAGAGTAAGATCACTCTATACCCCAAAACAGCTTCCAAAAAGAGAAAAAAGTAAATGTTAAAAAAGTGGAAATACATAATCACCAAGTGACACCATAGAGAAATTTTCATAATCTTAGAGTGGGAAAGACCTTTCTGAGTCTGACATAAAACCAAGGAGTCATCAAGAGATGACAGATTCAAGTGCATAAGAATAAAAAAAAAAATCCCTATGGTAGAAACACAATGAACAAAGTCAAGGGATGAGTGACAAATTGGGAAGAATTATTTGCAGTTTGTTAGCCAAAGGGCTAATTTCCCACATCTCTAAAGAGTTCCTGCAAATGAATAGGCAAAAAGCAATGGCAAAAATGGCAACAGCTATGAAGAGACAGTCTTATAGAAAAGAAAACACAAGTGACTCAAGCATGTGAAAAATACCGAATCTAACTCATCCGAAGGGAAATGCAAATGAAAACTACAGCAAGGGACCATTTCTCACCCATCGAGCTGGCAAAAGCCAATAAGTCAGCTGATGCTTTCTTTATGGGGAAAGGTGTTTTCATAGAACAACTATCCATTGCTAAGAGAGCATGAATCAGTGGCACTTGGCAAGGAGGCCATTTGGCAAAATCAGAGTGATGAAAGTACACATTCTTCACCCAGAAATTCCTCTCCCAGGTCACCGCCACATTGTCCTGGCAAAAGACAGAAGGCAACTGGATGTCGATCCGGCCTATCAACAGGGAACTGGCTGGATGCCTAGGGAATCAGGGAATATCCAGACCAGGGAGCAGGAGCCAGGGATGGATACCAACATGGATGCTTTTAACGCAGCGAAGAAGAAGGAGCTCCAAGAATTGTGTTAAGGTGCGGAACACAGGGTGGAGTAGGCGACTGTTTGTGTTTAAAGAAAAAAAGGAAAAGGCAATGCATATGTACACGTGCGTGTGCTTAAAATAGCCTGGAAAGGTAGTAAGGAGACTTTCTTTGTATACTTTTTTTGGCTTTTGTATTTTGAATCATGTCAATGTATTACATGGTCAAAAATTAGTTAAACAAAACAAAAAAGAATAAAGATTCCTTAGAATTTTAGAATCAAATGACAGAATCTTGGAAATAGAAGAGAATTTCCAGGCTCTGCTGGAATACTCTGAGCTCTGGGGAACGCCCTCCCTCCTGGTGGGGCGGGTCCAGCTCTGGGTCAGCTCCACCTGGAAGGACCTTGCTCGTGCTGTGATCTCACAGAGGGGGCAGAGGGCAGAGGAAGGCACCCCAGGAGCTGGCACCAGCATGGACGATGGGATCTGCCTCCCTGCATTGATCTGCCACCTCCGGCTGGCTCAGCGGCTCTGTAGACCTCTCCACTAGGATCAAGCAGGTGTGACCTTACCTGCTGAGAGCCAGGCATGGCCCCAGGAGGTGACCACAGCATGGTCACCCTGGGATGCCAGCTGGTGCAGTCCTTTCAAATGGCAGCTTTGCAGCCAGGAGAAGAAAGTCCCTCACAGAGGGGATGGTGGAAGCCCAGAGGAGACCTGTGAGTAGAGTGAGGAACAGGAGGAAGGTGGGGGGCCAGGGGCTGCTCATGGCTCCTATCACTCTAAGACTTCAGTCTCGGGGGTCTGACTCCCAAGCTCCAGACCTGTGTAATGAACAGGTCTTGCTGCCTCTCTGGATGCTCACAGGCACCTCCCACTCCACACAGCCCAACCCAGGCTCATGCCGTCTCCTCTTCCTTTCCTGTTCCACATCCATCTTCTAGCTAGGAGTGAGCCCTTCCCCTAGGAGTTACTCTGGACCCATCTCATGGGCTCATGGTTGTTTCTGAACATTTCTGCCTTTTCCTAAATGGCAGGTCCGTGGGGAGTCAGGCTCTGGGGAAAGGGAGATGACCCAGATGTTCCTGAGAGGGAAGGGCTCTGCCTCGGTCAGCTGTGTGCCACTCTGTGCCCACCAGAGCTTCAAGAAGGCCAGGCATCAGAAACACACTTCAGCACTGTGCCTGCCATGGATGTAAGCCAGAGATTTAAGCTCTGGAATGGGTGAAGCCTGTCTGCTTTGGGCCCAGCCCTGAGCGGGGCACTGGGAACAGGGAGGTGGTTAACTCTGGCCTGCAAGGAGCACCTCAACTGGGTGGGTTGAGGCAGGGAGCCAGATGAATACTGAAAACACAGCAGTTCAGACATGTAGCAGGGGAGGCTTCAGGGCCACAGAAGCCCGGAGAGAGAAGCCTGTGTATGTAGGGGAGATACTGAAGAAGGAGTCCGAGAGAGAAAGGGAAGGCAGGAGCAAAGCGCTAGACAGGGGAAGGAGGCAGAGATGCTGGGAGAGAGTGAGATGTCTCATGCAGCAGAAGCGGAGGGTGACTGTCCCGCGACAGGCTGGGAGATCAGTAGGGACCAGATCATGCCAGGTAGGGAAGTTTGTGTCATCCTGGAAGCGGTAGGAATGGTGGAAAGGCTTTAAGTTGGGGAATGCCATCGCCAGATCAAAACAGCCCACCAAAGAAGGAAGAGGCACATGAGACCCAAGGCAGGCCCGCAGAGGGTGGGTGCCACAGTATGAGCTGTGAGCTCTGCTGGTTAATCGCATGGCTGCGGGGCCAGGGCCCTGGATCTTCCATTTTTAAACTGGGAGAGCTTGGGCAAGTGACTTAATCTCCTTGTACTTCAGTTTCCCCAACTGCAAAATGGAATGGTAACAGTACCTACGTCACGAGGTTGCTGTGAGGGTGAGATGAGTGAATACGGGTGAGGTTGTGAGAAAAGTGCTTGGCGCAGTGAGTGCTCAGCGATAGCTATGAGCACAGTTCTGACGGCCATCCAGGGGAGGGACATGGTGGCCAGGCCCTTCCTCTGCTGCTGCCGCCTCCAGCTTCCCCTGCCCTCTCCCAGCTCCGGCCGAGGCGGCCCTTACCTTGTGCAGCCAGTGCAGGTTCATCTGCTGCCCCACAGCGATGTGACATAGTGCCAGGACCTGAGGAGGGGCCCACAGGGTCTGTGTCAGGCCCGTGTGGATGGGAAGGCTTTGCCAGTTTCTCAGACACCCTGTTTCCCACTGCAGCTCTGGGCCTGACCCTGGGCAGGGGCAGCAAACCCACTCCAGGCGATGGGAATGCCCAGCCCAGACTAGCCAGCCTGAGCCTGGCCTCCTCCCAGCTGATTCCAGGCCTCTAGGCTTCTCCTCTGTGAAATTCCTCATCAAGAAGTCACTGGGTGCTGCTGCACTTGGACTACCCAACTTAATTCATCAAACATTTTGGGAGTTCTAGTCCCCGGGATTCTGAAACAGACTTTGGCCTGTCCCCAAGGAGTCCCCAGTCCAGCATGGGGATCCATCTGCCTCTCAGTGAGTAGGATATTGGGAACAAAAACCCAAAGCAGAGGCTCCTGGAAGAGGAAGCCTGCAGTGAGCCCTCACAGCCAGGACAGCTCTCACCAGGTCTGGGGAAAACATTCCAGGAGAGACTGGCAAAAGAAAGAGGACCTCCTATCTTGGGGGACCCAGGGCTCAGAGGTGCAGCAGCCTGAGAGGCCCTGGGCAAAATATGAATTAATTACCATAGGGAGCCAACTTCCTACTAGTGGCACAAAATAGCTCCTAGTCATTCACTCTTATAAATTAACATAAAAATGAAAATTTTACACATATCTTTCTGCATTTTTAATTATTTCCTTAGGATAGATTCTTACAAACACAATACTCCTACAAATACAGCTTCCCTCTTTATACCAGGATGGGCCCCTCCATCAGCCCAGCACAGGCCAAGTCTCCCTTCCCCTGGGAGCAGGGCCACCTGCCCCCTGAAACAGCCCCACGTACCAGGAGGCCAGCAATGTACGCAAAGGCAGTGGCTGTGGTCACAAGGATGGGCATGGGCCAGTCGCTCCAGTAGCCCATGCGGTTATAGAGGTACCTGCCAGGAGGAGAGGGGGCAGAGGTCAGACCTCCACCAGGCTACTGCCTGGCCTAGGAACGAGGATGTTCTCAGCCTCCACACAGACCACAGGCTGCGCTCAGTGACCAGACCCTGCCCACCCAACAGCAAGGCTACATGGTAGAGCATTTGCCTGACGCTCTATCATGCCTGCTCACGGCAGCCACCCAGGGACCAAGAAATGCAAAGGAGAAAATAATGCCCTATAATTCTATCTCCCAGAAGTAATCATGACCAAGACTGTGCTGGAGGTTCCTCCTGTGGGTTCCCCTGCCCCCATGCCTATATGTTTGTATAAACAGCAAAGCCAGGACCCCACTGCACAAAGCAACACAGTCAGGAACACAGGCTTTGCAGTGAGGAACACGCACACAGGCTGGATTCAAATCTCCCCTCTTCTCTGCTTCTCACTGTCTTGTAGGACCTTGTAGAGGTGACAGCCTTCACTGATTCTAAGATGCCATCAATTGTGACTGCCATCTCAACTTCAATGTTAAAGTGTGAAAATTGGGGGTCTTAGAATTGATCAAATGTCATATTTGACCTCTCTGAGCCTTAGTTTCCTCACCTATAGGATGGAGACAAGAAGAAAGTCCCTTTCATGAGGCCTCATGAGGATGGAGCGAGGTGAGATGCATGGTTAAGTATTCAGTACACTCTCTTTGTTTTCATTTGTTTGTTTGAGACAGGGCCTCTGTCACCGAGGCTGGAGTGCAGGAATGCGAACACGGCTCACTGAAGCTTTGACCTCCTTGGCTCAAGCGATCCTTCCACCACAGCTGGGACCATAGCTACCCACCACCATATCTGGCTAACTTTTTGTATTTTTTGTTGAGGCAGGGTCTTGCCATGTTGCCCGGGCTGATCTCAAACTCCTGAGCTCAAGTGATCCTCCCACCTCAGCCTTCCAAACTGCTGGGATTATAGGCGTAAGCCACCATGCCTGGCCAACTCTTCTCAACACAAGCGTTTACTTATGCCAATAAAAATCCTGAGAAAATGTGATTTTTAAAACAGCCACGTGGTTTTCCACTGAATTAATGTGCCATATGTAGCCAACTTCCTACTAGTCGTATGAAATAGTTTCTAATTATTCACTATTGTAAATTAACATAAAAATGAAATTTTTATACATATCTTTCTGTATTTTTGATTACTCCCTTAGGATAGATTCCCACAAAAACAATTATAGGGTCAAAGAGAATGGACTTTTTTTTGAGAAAGGGACTTGCTATGTTGCCCAGGCTGAACTTGAATTCCTGGACTCAAGCAATCCTCCCGCCTCAGCCTCCCTGGTACCTGGAACTACAGGCACACACCACTGTACCCGGTGGGAATGAACTTTTTAAGGGGCCTGATAGATACTGCTTAGATGCTCTCCAGGAAGAATGAACTATTCACAGCCTCTCTACAAAGGGGGAAACTGAGGCATAAAAGAGGCAGCAACTTGTTTAAGGTCATTAGGGAATCCAAGCCAGTTCCAGGTAGCTCCAGCCTGCTATCATCTGGGACCTTTCCAGGGAGATGGGAAGGGACACCAGGAGGACCCCATGGGGTATTCGCCCTCCCTGGCCCTCACCCTCAGAGTGAGGGGAAAATCTACTGCCTGGCAGATCATTGAATGTACTCTCTTATTGTACAGTTGGGAAACTGAGGCCTGAAGAGGAGCAAGACTTGCTCCTGATAACTATTCCCGAAAGACATTCTGCTCCCATTTGTCTCTCAAGTGTGACCACTTTTGTCAAGGAGACTTTCAGGACAGCAGCTGCCCAGAGGACCCTCCCTGACCCTCCTTATCCAGTGCTAATCCCTGGCTGTTGCTCACATCCTCTTACTGTATGAGTTATTCCCAGAGATTTTTTTTGAGATGGGTTCTGTGTTGCCCAGGCAGGAGTGCAGTGGTCTCCCAGCTAGAGATGTTGTTTCCCAGGAAGCAGCCCTCACGTTTAGGTAGAGCTCTGAGCTCTCTTGTGTCCATCAACTTGGTTCATCCTCAGGAAGACCTGATGAGGTCAGAGTTACCCCATTTTACTCTGAAAGGGGTAAAATGCGATCTTGGCTCACTGCACTGCAACCTCCACCTCCCAGGCTCAAGCAATCCTCCCACTTTATCCTCCCAAGTAGCTGGGACCACAGGTATATGCCACCACATCTGGCTAATTTTCTGTAGAGATGGGGTGTTGCCATGTTGCCCAGGCTGATCTTGAACATCTGGACACACATGATGTGCTTGCCTTGGCCTCCCAAAGTGCTGGGATTACAGGCATGAGTCATTGTGCCCAGTTCCCAGAGACTCTTGAGACCATCAGGACTGGACCCAGGCACCCTGAACCCCAGCACTGACTCCAAGAAACTGAGGTGACAGGCTGAAGGAGCTGCGGGTCTCCAGGCATCCCTAAGTGCCAGGCAGGGCTTCCATTGCCACCTCCCTGACAGGGCAGGAACCCGTCCTCTGCTTGAATCTCCCAGTGACAGGGAGCTCACTCTCAGGGTAGGGTGGGTGGCTCCATGGACATGATACAGTCAGGTAGGCTGAAGTCCCTGTCCCAGATCTGTCTGCTTCTTGCTGTGTGACTTTGGAAGGGCTACTTAACCTCTCTGAGCCTTTGTCTCTTCAGTCTGTCCTCAATTCATATTTTTGGCACTAAACTGGTTGTGGGACCATGGATGCGTCTTGCCCTTCTCTGGGCCTCCATTTCCCATCTGTACATGATGGGGGTAGACTTGATGATCTTCTAGGCAGCAGACCTCCAGTTCAGAGGAACTGCCCAGGTCTGCAGTTGAGGGCCAGTAGGGAACATTCCCATTTACTCATGATAGTGTCCATGCTTTGGACATCTGCAAAGATGAATAATTGATTTATGGCATTTAATAAAGGCCAGAGGCCACCTCCGGGATTCGGCCAGGGCTCTGGCTCATCTTGCTTGGCGGCTGCAGGGCAGGGGTGGGACCGCAGTGTGTTCTTGATTGTGTTCATTAATAACAGAGGCATGGCTTGGTGCCATGCAGGGAAAAGTGGATACCCAGCTCCATGAACAGAGTCCCAGGATCATCACGGAATGCTAGAACCACAGCCTGTCAGAAGCCCGGAATCCTGCAAATCCCAAATGCTAACATCATGCTGCCTCCCGGCTAGAGATGTGGTCTCCCAGGAAGCAGCCCTCATGTTTAAGTAGAGCTTTGAGCCCTTTCATGTCCATCATCTCAGTTCATCCTCAGAAAGACCTGATGAGGTCAGCGTTACCCCATTTTACAGGAGAGGCTCAGAGAGCACTGGAGACTTGCTCACAGTCATGCTGACCTGAACATCTGATCAAAAGGAAGGAACAGCAATGGATGGGGAGGAGCCAGGCTTCTAAGCCCCAGCTCAGCCCCCAACTGGCTGTGTGACTTGGGCCTGTTTCCTTATTTGTCATTGAAACCCTGGGTCCTTCCCCTCTTCCCATGGCCTCCCAGTGCTTAACAAAAGGCAGGCAATGGAACGGTGAAGAGGAAGAAATCCCCCTGCACCCAGGTAAGTGGCTCAGACAGCCCTGCCTTTGGATCTGAGGTACTCACAAAGGACCCTGAGCTGTCCCCAAACTCATCTGCCAGCTCTGCCCAGGGCCTACCCAAGGGAGTTAGGAGGCCTAGGATCCGGGGCTACCCCTCTGCAGAGACCTTGGTCTCTCTGAGCCGTGGATTTCTTGTCCACAAAGTGGGTGACTGGAGGCCCCAGCCCAGCCTGAGCCCTGGCCCAGCCTTCAGTTCCTATTTTCTATTTTCCATGGTTGCAGCTTGGGGAAGGAGCACTCTGTGTCTCTCCATAGGGTTTCGGCTCCTGTAAGCCTTTGTTCTTTGAGGCTCCCCTCCACCTCTTCAGGGGGCCAGGAATGCAGGAATCATCAATGCAAGCACCAAGGGGTCTTCAAGACCAGCAGCTAAATTTCCCCAGGTTTCGATCCTAGCCATTCTTTAAGGGGTAGTTCCCATGCCTCCTCCTCCAGGAAGCCTTCTCTAAGTCCCCAGTGGGACCCCCCTCAGGGCAGGAGAGACTCCCCTCTCATTGTTTCCTCCTCCTCTTTCTTGCCAGCCTGTGATACAATCCTTACCCACACCCTGGGCACTTCCCATTACAGACCCATACCAGCCTCCTCACCAAAGTCCTGAAGGTGGGCAGGACAGAGGCTCCCAGGGAGTAGGCCCTGGCCAGGGCCACACAGAGAGCTGGTGGCAGAGCTCAGAGGGCCAACCTGGGAGAGAGGCTCTAACCCCAGCCCCCAGGTCCCAGCTAAGGTACTGGATACCCAGCTCTGGGCCCCGTCCTCCCCCACCCCCACCCCCACTCACCAGTTGAATTCATCATAGTCATTGTGGACTTCCCACCAGAAGTAGAGCCAGGTGAGCGTGAGGCCAAAAGTGAAGGTGAGGAGCAGGAACCAGAGGCGCTCCCACTGGAAGAGCAGAGGAGGAGGGGGTTAAGTGGGTCAGGCAGGGGCCAGCCTCTGAGGCTGCCTCCCACCAGAATGTGTCCCCCTCCCTCCCACTTTGTTTTTTTTTGTTTTTTTGAGACGGAGTCTTACTCTGCCGCCCAGGCTGGAGTGCAGTGGCACCATCTTGGATCACTGCAACCTCTGCCTCCTGGTCCAAGCAATTATGTCTCAGCCTCCTGAGTAACTGGGACTGCAGGCACGTGCCACCACGCCCAGCTAATTTTTTGTGTTTTCAAGTAAAGATGGGGTGTCACCGTGTTAGCCAGGATGGTCTCGATCTCCTGACCCTGTGATCTGCCTGCCTCAGCCTCCCAAAGTGCTGGGCTCACAGGCATGAGCCATCACTCCAGGCCTCTCCTCCCTCCCACTTTGCAGCCAAACCTGCCAGGCAGGAATTCCTGCCCTCTTTACCCCGGGAGAAACTGAGGTTCAGAGAGGGAAGTGACCTGTCCACCATCACCAAGCCCAAAGTCACAGAACGGTGGAGAGCAGGCCAGGCCAGGGCTGTTATCTTTTAGCTGCAGTTTTTCCACTGTGTACTGCTCTCCCCATTCTGAGATGGCCCCTTGGCGCTGGCACCGTGATCGTGATCAGTAGTCTGTGAAGTCACATTCCTCACACATGCCTACAAAGAAGGCGTTGTTCTTCTCCACCTTTACCCCATGCTTCGGAGAAAAACACTGAAGGCCAGAGAAGCCAAGTCACTTGCGCAGGTCACACAGCAAGTTAGCAGAGGATTAAGGACCAGCGCCCTGGTCTCTGGACTAGAAAAACTGCAGAAGTGCTGTGTTCTGCTGCCTCCATTGAGCCAGATACCCGTCTCCAGCCAGGTGGAAGTGGGGCGGCGGGGGACACTGACACCACCACTGCTGTTTCCTGAGGGGCCAGCTCAGCCTCTGCAGGTGCTTCCTCCTGGCCCTCCGGTTTCTCCTTGCTTTCATCCGTCCCCTTATCTTGGAAGCACAACAAGCTTGGAATATCCTGCATCCTGGGAAACTGCTGAGATCATCAGAACAAGTCAACAGCCCTTGAGGGGAGGTCAGTGTGAGGAAGAATCCAGACTACCTTCCCCCTGAGGGTGTGAAGTCAGGGAGGCAGCCCTATATCCAGGCTCCTGCTATGTTTCTAAACCACCCCAGTTTAACCTCTTTATGGCTCCTTACTGATAGCCAAACAGGGAAGTCTTCTGGGTACAGCACCCTGACCTCTCCAGCTTCCACCCTCACAACCAGTTCCTTCAACCTGGAAGGGCCACTGCCTCGGGGCTTATTCTCTGAACATTCCCGCTCATCCTTCAAGTCAGCTCAAATATCACTGCTTCTGGGAAGCCTTCCTGGATCCACCCTGCCACTGCCTCTGTGAAGCCTTCCTGGATCTACCCTGCCACCTCGAACTGGCCGCAGTGCTCCCACAGCATCAGCATCCCTCTGTCTAAACTCATGCTTTGTGCACCACGACCTGCTGTGTCCCCCAGACAAGTGTGGGTTCCGCAAGGATGGGGACCGAGCCGACTTCCACTCCACTAGTACTTTAGGATGACATGCAGGAATAGGCAGGAAGGAGGGAAAGTCCTCTCACTGTGCAGAATCCCTCTGTCCCACACCATGCGGAGACACCATCAGTCTGCTCAAGAACCTCAGATCTCTGTTACCACTTACAAGCCGTGTAACCTTGGGCAAAGTACTCATCCTCTCTGTCACTTAGTTTGCACTAAGTGAAATGAGGGCAACACTAGTACTTATGCCATGGGGTTGATGGAGAATTAAAAGAGATAATACAAGTCAGGTGGCTTGGCGAGCACTCAGCACACTATCAGCATATCTGTGGCATCCTCTGCCTCTCCAGAACATAGGAAAGACCTTCACACCCTAATGGTCCATGACTCCATACCCACTAAGTGCCCATTCCGTGCCTTGTCTGGGCAAGAGGGGTGGTGCTTGGGTGACCCTTCTGTCCAGGTGGGTCACCCCAGTTAGGCCACTCATGCTTGGGTGAGCAGCTGCCACCACTCCTTGTCATGTGCAAACCAGACTGCCTTGCTTAGCCCCACTTTGTACATAAACAGACAAGCAAAGGTGATGACACCCTGAGACCCAGTCTTTCTGGCAGGTTTAGGTTTTGGGAGGTGGCTTCTCAGGGGGTAGGGCACTTGTGTCTGCCCCACCTGGACACAGATTAGCACAAACTCCAATTGCAGGCACAGCAAGACCCAGCCTTAGTCAGGAATAGGGAAACCCTGGTTAGGAGCAGGGCAGGCCATGTGCCCTTCTGGATCAATGGAACCCTAGGAGCCACCACCCAGAGAACGGCTGGAACTGTCTAGAGCTGAGTCTAGGGACTCAGTCCTGCCTCCCGTGGCAGGGCCGTGGGGCTGGCCCAGACTGCCATGTCTAAGCCAAGGCTGTTGGCCCTGCGCACGACCATCTCTCCACCACCCTCCAGCCAGCACCCCAGGATTAGTCCTTCTCAGAATCCCTCTTGCCACCTCAAATTCTTATTTGCTCATAACAACCTTCATTTCCTACAGAGTGCAGCCGGTGAGTCCCAGGCCAGCTTAAACATCCGAGTCTCCCAAAGGGTGAGCCATATCTTTAGACTGACACCCATCTGGTCATGTCATGCCCCAGCTCGAGAGTCCCATTGGCCCGAGCTTCTCTGTAGACGTCAGGGCCCACTCTGCCTGGCCCAGGCCAGCCTCTGTGCTTTATGTCCCATGCACAAAATTAAATATGGTTCCCCACACAGACTCTCCAGACTCCAGGCCTTCACACAGCCAGAGCCTCCATCTAGAAAGCATCCTTTCTCTGCTTCATCAGGCAAACCCCTACTCCTTCCAGAGTGCCCCTCCCTGAAGACTCCCCTGTTTCATAGGGTGAATCCCATCTCCTCAGAGCTCCGTAACCTATGCAAGCATCTCACTTACGGCTCAGACCCCACAGCCCTAGAACTGTCTCTATACATGTCGGCCTCCCTGCTATACATAAGTGCCTGAGGTCTGGGTGGTCTTCGTGCTCCATGTGGCACAGGAGCTTGAGAAAGATTTGATAATAAAATTACAGGTGAGGAAACGCCCTTTCTCCTGCCCTGCACAAGTACAGACACCTACCCAGGAGAGATTTCCCTGGGGCTTAACACCCATCCCCGCAAACAAGTGCCTCATCTTCTATAGCACCCACACTGGCAGTGCTAGATGGCTGTCTGTTTACAGAGACCATGCTGCCTCCTCAGGGGTAAGACCTGTGTGCCTCTAACCAGCAGAGAAGGTTCTGAGAGGGACCTGGGTGAGGGGTGAGCCTGGGTCTGGCATGACTCTGGTCCCAGGCAAGTAGCCTGGAGGAGAGAAGGTAGAGAACCTGCAGTACATGCTGGGAAAACATCCTGTGGCCAGGAGGATGCAGGGCCCAGGGGCAATGCTGACAGAGGCCAGGAAGACAACACGGCCCAGGAGGGCCCATGGCAGCCAGGGTCCTATGCCCCAAAGGTCATTGTCCTCACGTGTCCAGACCCTTAAAGTGGGGCAGGGCAGGGAAAGAATGAGGGGCTACACCTCCCACCCCTGGGTATCGGCCAAGACTAGAGCTGGTGGTGGTGGGGGGTGAGGTGCCCAGGCATGGCAGGAATGCGGGCAGGACCTACGCAACAAGGAGCCAGGAACCCCATGATCAGAACTAGGGCATGAGCTGGGGTTGGGACGACCTAGGATTAAAGTCCTGGGAGCTGAAGCTGGAGGCCACAGGGAACCTGTAGATGGGGCGAAGAGGCCCCAGCATAGAGGGAGGCAGGCAATGTGGGTCACTCTAAGAACAATCAGAGGAAAACACTGAATGGCAAGGGCTGGGAGGAAGGGAAGGGGAAGGGGAGGAAGTGGCTGCAGGAAGTGGCCTGTGGAGCAGCTCCCCTGATAAAGAGGCTCCAGTGGCACTAATGGTCCTTGTCAGGACACGTTACAGCAGAGAGAGGCCTGCCTGCTCCACCCTTTAGCAAGCCAATCTGGCCCTCCTCCCGGAGATGCAGAACAGTGATCGCTGCCCCAGTGCCATGGCCACAACCCTTCTTCATCTCCCATAGTCTGCACAGCACCACGGGTTGTTCATTTAGGGATATCTACCCCCACTGCACAGAGGCTCAGAGAAGGGTCCCCACATATGGCTGAGCAAGTCATGCATTGCCCCCTAAGAAGTGCCACTCATGTCGTGGTGACCATCAAGGTGCATATTTATTATGATGATTTGCTGGCACATGGTGATTGTGTCCTAGGAAAGGGGCGCTTTTTCATAATTTGCATAAAGGCTCAACACAGGTGAGTAGAGGGGAGTTGGAGGGGTCAGCAGGTTGGGGAGGAGTGGGGATAAGATGTGAACCCAGGTATACTGACTCCACCTTGGGAGGCAGCCTGCACAGCCCCCCTCAAAACCCACCCTTGCCCCCTGGGACCCAGTATGGCTATCCCAGGCCCAGCCTGGCTCCCTGGATTGCTCCCCTCCATCTCTCTGACCCCAAGCCAGACCTGTTCCTACTTCAGGAAGCCTTTCCATCCCACCAGGCCTCAAAGGCCCCCCCCCAAGCCATCCTGTACAGACTCTTGGCACCCACCACTGTGACCCTCAATCAAATTGTAAATTGTGGAGATGGAAAGAATACAGGCTCTGAAGAGCTGGCTCTGCTACTCAGCACATCACTTGGCCCCTCTGAGCCTCGGTCTCCTTGGCTGTAAATGGAAATAACAGCCCCTCCCTCGAAAGGAGGCTGTTAAATGAGCTGAAGGGCTTCAGGTGGCACACAGTAGGCATCTAATAAGGGCTGGCTCACTGGGCTGCAGGCTCCCTCAGGTCAGGGATGGCCTGAGCTATCTCTATGTCCCCTGGGCCCAGCATCATGCCAGGCACGAGGTGGTGGTCACCTGTGGCATAAGGGACATAAGGAGGGATGGATGTGACACAGGCTGACAGGGATGATCAGGA